TCATGTAATTCCTATTAAAATCAAATTAAGAAATTAACAAACTGAGCCCAGAGACCTAATGTTAGAACCCTTATTTATTAATTTATAAATTTATAATTGTTGAACAACTTATGGGCTTTCATTTAATGCTTATCATTCATGTACCAAGATGAAACTGAAAGTGGGATCTAGCCTACACTGTAGTATTGTACAATGATTTTGAGGGGAATATTAATTCTTATTAAGACAAATAATAAAGGGCTAAATCAAATTACAGGTTAGTTGGAATATTCATGCATCTTAATGTAGCCTATTCATCATATAATTCTTGCTAATGTTGTATTGATCTCATGTCAATGTACGCCTGCATTTTTAAAGTGCAAAAAAACAAAACACTTACCCGGCATTCAATAACTTTCAGTATTCTATTGAAGGGGTTTTAATTTCTTGTGGAAGTGAACTTAGTAAATTGATACAATTTTTTAATTACTCTCCATTCCAAAGAGGAAATTTTATTGACTGTACTCTGTGTGTAGTAACTGTAAAGACACTGTGGGTATCGGTTTCTACTAAACTAATAAGTGTCACAAAAATGATAAAACTATGCACTAACATTGAACTCTGTGAAAATGAAAGTTGATACTAAGAACCTGAAGGGCCATTAGGATTTATTGATGGTATTGGTTTTTATAAGAGTCAAAAGCATGAACAAAATTATCAAGGCTATTCATGGTTTTGTATTATTTCCTTGTGAATATGAAGGACAAGTTATCGTCCAAACAGTTTGAACTTGAAGTGGACTCAATTCAAACAGTATCAATAGATACTGAGTATCAATACATACTGAGTACTGGTATACTTCTTATGTATTTTTGTTTTTTTCCCCTTATATTTTGTTACATGCACCAGAATATTGAAAGTAATATTGAAAAGCAATCTCAGAATATTGTTGCATATTGTCACTTTCTGTAGACTTACAATGCACTTGTGGCATGTAACTTTTCCACTGAAGGGAAGAAAAACAAAACAAAACAAAAACAATAGAATAAATTAATAAAGAGAGAACAATTTTATTTTTTGTATGGCTCCCATCTCCCAATGTCATCAATGATGAAGTAGCCACCAAACATTCCTTGTATTCTTTGAATAGCATGACTCATAATGAGCAATATATATTCTACACAGTAAACATAGAATTCCACCCAGTGGGCTATGGGAAAAGCAGAAATGCAAGGCCAAGGCCAGATCATCAGATGTCAGACTTGTTACTGTGTAAACATGAACAGTGCTTCACTGTTATCTTTAATAATGTTCATATACAGGTAGCATACATTATTTATCATATTTTTGAAGAAAATAATGAGTAATGACAGGTATTGCAAAGTTACATTGTACATGTTGTTCAAGGGTGACCATGATTGTTTAGACAATAGACATAGCATGAATCATAAAACGAGAACGGATGTTTTCTGAAATCATGTTACAAATATTTTTTTGCCCAATTGCTTGCTCACGATTTTGATTTTTTGTTTAAAGGGCTTCATAGATCTTTTTTTTTTTGTAGCTTCTTTAGCAATTTTTCAGTGAAATAATATCAATAATTGTGAAAATATAGTGCAAAGTGCATCAAGGTAAAGTTCAATAAGATATGCACATAACAGCACAATGATGATAGTTTGCATATGATGCTGTGTCTAGTTGCAGTGTATCCTTGTGCCAACGTATTGTAAAGATACATATTTCAGACAGAACATACATATACATGTAATACTTCAATTCTTCAACCTTCATGAGCAATGTAAGCCGTTACATGCAGAACTTACAGCAAAATTATGATAGAAATTGGCATTTTATTTACTTAACAAATTGTTCGAGTTTTAAACTTCAGAAAAGCTAATTCAGTTTGAACGATTTGGTAACCCTCTGACTGACAGGCTACATGTACACTGATGATGCATCAAAGATGTGTATGTACACATATGTACGTGATATCACACTTAATGTACAATGAAATTCAAGAAATATTCTTATGACAGAAGACGTTTGGGAAAAACGTAAATAGTTTAATAAATGGCCTGTTGGCCTCTCTTTAAAATTTATGATTTGAATAATTTACTGGTAGTAGCCTCTATTTCAGTGTCATCTGGCTTTATTGACCATGTACAGGTACAGTGTACATTGTCCATCCTATCTGATCATGTACATGTAATGTATGTCTTCACCATCGGAAAGATGATCTTGGAATTGAATCTTGTGTCTTAATTTACCACGGGCCACTGACCACTTGACCAGTCCATGCACCTGTGCATAGACTGTTCATGTAAGCTTCTATTCTTGTGTAATTTTATAATGTAACTTTTAAGTCCACATGTGTACAGGAAAATGATCTGCTCCTGATCACTGCTGATGTTGCTTGAAAGGTCACAGCATCCAGAGATTTTAATTCAATCTTTATGACATTTGCCTGTTGTGGTAACGCTGATCAGCTGATGTACCAAACATGTGTATCTGGTGATATACTAGCTGACTACACTACATGTAGGTTGAATGTACTACATGGGGACATGTGCAAATAGAGGTTACATCATGACCAATCAGTTTGACATTCTAATTTAGGTCACTTGTGTTTGTAGATACAAATGAATGTAATTGTATATTTGTGTTGTCAATTAAAAAATGAAAACACAACAAAAGCTGATTAAGTGGCCTACGTACATTGTAGCCTACAGTGTACATGTACTGTACATGTACATGTCCTGTATGGTACTTTAAAGAACTGTAGGGAAAATAATTTGTATTTGTATTGTGCATTGACAATACAATATTATCAGCTTGATTGTAGTACTGAACCATTGAACTTTGAGCCCATTCATGTACATGTAGCAACAAAATAGATACTAGAGTGCCATATATTACATGTACATGAAGGCTCCTTGGATCCTAGCCATATTTGTAGTCTTACCAATACATGTTTATAAAGTATGACTTAAAAGAAGTACATTTATTAGCACTTTAAACGACTTTAATAATTACCCTTTCAGGCCTCCAGGTTTGCTTCTTTTAATAAGTGTGGCCTTAAATGGACAGTGACAGTGTACATGTACTTGCTATTAATAGCAGCTCATTGGTTCAATTGCATGCAACTCAATGTGGAAATAGTTACTAGAACTTCTAAATATTTTATCGAAAACTCAATCTTTTTAATGTAAAATATATGTTCCAAGAATTAACAGAGTACTTGCGCAACTGCAAATTAGAGTCAATTACACTGCAACAAATACTTATTTATAGATCTAATAAATGTTTCAATATTTGGGGCTTCTTTTTACAGTTGTACGAATGATACCTGTAGGCCTCTGAGTAGCCAACTGTTGAACTGTACTTATAGCCACATGTACACATGTACATGTGCGTAGTACAGGTATATAAAATTGTAAATGTAAATGTGTGGACAGTGGATACCGTCAATGTACTACAAAAGATACCATAATCTCAGAGAAGATGGATTATATGTCAGATGTAATGAGATTTTGAGCCAAGCCGAGGGACTCATCTGAATTTTTAATTTGAAAATTATTGGATTTGTCGTCATTAATTATACATAAATACGTTAGCCTATGTCATTAGTACCTCTGAATATTGCATGAAATGTTGTGTTGAGACTTTCTCGTATTGAAGTAATTCAAGAAAAAGGGTATTATTACTGGGCTGGAAACAACTTGTTGCATTTCAAGTATTTTTATAGCTTGGCCTCCTTTTCAGTCCACCAGGGGTGTATTAGTTTCAGGTTTTTTGCCTGATTTTGTGCTGTGTTACAGCTCTGTTTCAAGCTTTTCCAGGCTTCGTTTATGAGGCATACCAGTCTTAAATACATCGTAGAACTCCAACATGTCGAGTCTTCTTTTCAGGCTAAATAATTTGGTAAAACCAAACCGGGTTCTGAAATCATTTCATCTTCACTAGTAAAAGATTTTGCCATATACACATACATGTACAACTGAAAATCCCTGGAAAGGGTGGGTGAAGTTAAAATTTGTCAGTTGATACACCATGTACAGCTGTACACTGTAGTCAACTGCTTCATAACACAGCAGAAATCATTGATTACATGCAATGCGATGGCAGGAAATTAATTTCATTGCCTGCTTCTTGTACTGTACATGTAAATGTCTCGGTTGGCAAGCACTTTAGAAAACGAGCTTTGTGCACCACTGAACTCTGCATAATAAGCAGAATTATGGCAGATGCTGTTATTCGTAAGTGCCCTAGCTTTTAAAGTCTCACTGAAACCAATTAATTACCTGTTACTGTTTCTGTCATAAAAACAATTTGCAAGGCATCAGTTTCAATACGCCTGTATTTGACTGGTATTTGTACACTCTTATGTTATAAAATAGTGTCTTCATATACATCAAATGTTTGACTGTATCTGTAAGTACCATGTGGGTTTTGTTATTATCTCCAAGTTTTGGCATCAATACAGTTTTATTTCACTTTCATGTAAATAAATAATTTCATTTACACAATGTAGACTTAACTTTGTTTTCTTGGATGTTCTGCAGCTGCTGCTGATTATACTTTCTGATTTTGCGTCATTATCACTTTTAATATTTATTTCAATTTCGTTTTAATTTTTTTTTCTTTCATGAAAAAGAACCAACAGTTAAGCACAGTACAATGTGCAGAATGTTTGGAGGAGAATCAAAGTTTCACTTCATCATACAGGAAATGGGTGGAGTGGGCAGAGTGTGATGTACATCTGTTGGATTCATTCTTCCATTGTGAAATTCATTTTTTGAAATATTGCTCAATGTACAGTACTTTCTAAAGGATTTTTTCCCATTTGATATCTTAGTTTTTAATGTACATGTAGTTCAATTTACAGTTGTAGTTCACTTGTATTTTTACACAACCTTACATTTTAATTTTGTTAACACCAGACTTTTATGTACGGTAGGCCTTTACATGTATGTTGATGATACTCAAATCTAGTAATATTTATTTTAATTTTCTTTTCCCAGGAAATTTTTCTTTGGGGGTTCGAGCAGCAAGCACAAGCGGCGCAACAGTGCTGACGAATCTACCGCCGGACCGAGCACCCCATCGGCGTCATCTGCAGCATCGCCCTCTCCGTCTCAGGGGCCACAGCGGAAGAGTAGGTTGCGACGCTCTCTGAGCATGAAGCGGCTACGGCGGAGCTTTCGTAGCAAGGATACGTCCTACGTGCCCCCGGCCAGCAAGCCACATCAATGGCAGCAGGATGAGAAGCTGGTCAGGGCAGGGACCTGTAATTTTACGGTCAAGGTATGTTTCTTCTCCTATGTTACATTGTATCTCATCAGATTATCTTTCTTTCAATCTGGTTTCCTATTATGCACACATAAATATGTGCATTAAGGAATGAAAATGCTATTCACAACATCTGAAAGCCAAATATTTGAAGAATTACATACCAAGACTACTAACCCAAAGCCTAGCCCACGTACCTCACATGCTTTTAAATTAGTGACCTCAGAGATGTAACATAGACCACCCCGTCTAATTTATCGATCCATTTGAACCTCAGAAAGGTGTAAAACTATGCAATCACTCAAAGATGTCAATTTTAAGCCTCTGTAAAGCATTTGCAAACCTCTAAGAGCATTTTGTCAGAATGTTTTGATATTCATATTTCAATTTCTGGTAGATCGAATCCCTGGCGGTTAACAGATTTACCCTACCTTTTGATTTCTACTTTCATAAAAAAAATCACCTTTCATTTTGGTTTGAAGTATTAGGATTTCTCTCCTATCCAAAAATAAGTAGAATCACGCTGCATTTAATTATTCTTGCTCATCTTGTCATCACTTTATGGCATTTTAATAGTGATTTGAGATGGGTCAGACAGTTACCATGACGATCAGACTGCTGTTTAAAATTCAAGAAACGTACTTGCCTTCAATTATGTGCTTATTAATATTGAAAGGTATATATTTACAAAACACTAGGCAAGAGGTTATTCTCACACAAAGTGGTTTTTCCCCTGTTCATATTTTCTATCAGTGTTGCTTTTAGCAACTACAGTGTACATGTATCAACTTAAAGTGCATGTTCACAGTAAACTGAAGCCATAAACATTAACTGAATTTCAGTGCTTTAGGGAGGAAATTTGATTGTTGTGTTTATAAGCGTGTCGTTGATTAGCTTGACATTCTTGGAAAGGTCAACTGTAAGGTTGAAGGGTGACCCCATACAGCACAAAGACTACTTTTGTGGCAGGAGGAAGGAGTAAGTGACGCAAATGAAATCACGGCCGAGATTGATAGAAGGCTTGAAGCCTTGCAGGCATGTCAATGTACATGTATGCAGATGAAATAAGTACAGAGCCTGAAACAGCCAGGAAGGACTAGCATTGCAATATAGGATTTAGAAATTGCCTGTTGATTGTAATGTTGAAAGATTGAGCACTAATTTGTGAAGGAAGGTTGACATTTAATAACCACGCACAATTTACTGATAAGTTGCTTTTAAAAGGTCAGTCACACCTCCTTTACCAGAAAACTTTCTAGATCCCCCCCCCCCCTGTTGTTGTAAATAAGAATTCAATCATGCACACTTGCAGTGTTTGAACAATTTTTTATTTCTACAAAGTCTTGTTATCAATCAGACAGAGGTATTGATTTACAAATTATGATAACTTATAATATCTCTGACCTTTTTCATACCTTTTTCATAAATATGATGTTCTTTTGGTTTAAACTGTAAAATAAAGGTTTCCTTCTACAGTATTTCAACTTTCTAAATTCATCAGCTTTTAAAAATTCATCAATCATGTATTCATACATGTGAAATTTGAATAATGGAGGCAAAATACACGTACACATGTAGGTGAATGAGTGAATGATGTTGTTTTATGATTGACATTTCCACACTCTATACTTTGTCTCTTCTTTACAGTACCTTGGTTCAATAGAAGTGGGAGAGTCCAGAGGCATGCAAATATGTGAGGACGCAGCCAGACAATTGAGGATGGTAAGTCAACATGGAAAGAGATATTATTATGATCTATATACAGTCCTGAGCAAACTTGGCAATCCCTCAGTCAAAAAGAAAAGAAAATTGGTATGGCATGCATGAACGCCCTTTACGATAACACTTGACGGTACACACATATTTCTAAAGTTATATCATCATGCGCTGGCTTTGATGTGACCTTTTATTGTTATTCGTAGGCTACTGTTTGGCCTTACATCAATGCAATTATTTCTTGCTTACCTACAACTATTAGAGGGGGTGGGATATAAACTGGTTTTTAAATCTGAAAGACCAAGCAAATTATTGTATAAAGTTTTCATTTCCGGTATTTCCATGCATAAGGGGGTGTTTACTTTGGATACAAATTAACCACAAAATACACAAATTTCTGTTTTTCTGTGCTGCTGTTTTTGTCAAATTTACAAGTGTTTTCAATGACAGGAAACTTGGCTAGAAATATGGAGACACTTCAGAGAAATGTAGTTTCACTATTCATTGATTTAGCAATTAATCTTTGTTGACTTTGTCCCTGCATGCATGGATACAAATACAGCAAAAACATTTCACCTCAACCGATTCATTTTGTTTGTTGAGGAACTGGAAGACAGACAGATTTCACACATATACATTTATGAGATTATTAACGATTTATTAAAATATGGCAATTTATCCTACACATTTATAAATGTACTGCATTTGAATTGAAAGGGTGTGTGAGCTTATGACGAAAAGACATAAACCAGACCACCAAACCATTTGTTTTTGTGGTTATTTATTAATTAAATTAATTTACTATGGAATCCATAACAGGGCAGCCGATATTTTTAATGCTATATTGTTACTAGCTAAACATGTGTATGTGATTCACATACATGTGTAGCTAATTATTTGTTGTATGGTGTAATACAGTAGGCCTACACGTCGATACAGTTTACATGTTCCTTTGCAAACATACACAGTACTGTACAGTCAGCACCTTGAAATTCAATCAATATGACAAGACAAGCAGAAAACATAACCATATGAGCTTGTATACAGTATGTAATTACTCATCCACCTTGTCGTGGGGTTTCTCTGATTTTACAAGTGAAACCAGATTCAACTGAATTCTGGAAGGGGTGTTGTCTGTCCTCCGTGCACAATTCATTGATTTTTAGGGAGTATAAAAATATAGTGAACCAGGAATGTGTGAGTAATTGTATGTTAGTGCTTGGGTGGGTGTGCATTCATTTTGTGTCAGCCCACATGTACATCAAGATAGTTCTGCATATAGGACTACATGTACACATGAAGAACACAAATTATTTAGTTTTTCATATATTCTCTTAAAGGCCCACTGCACTACTGGTAGCTACTTGCGCCCTCTATATAACAAACAATGCCTAATCAGTGACCATTGGTCCCCCATGATCCTCTTTTTCTTATGTTAACTGAGAGCTGAGTTGATGAGATAACCACCTGTCCAGTGACCTTGCAGGGCGGTCTAATCCCTCCTGTAAACTACGGCAGATAAGCTTTAAGTCTATAGATTCATGTGATAGGTACTTTTGTTGTCGTTGTTATTATATTATCACTTGTGAGAAAATGATGTGCTGGATACATTTGGCTGTATTTTAGAACATACATGTACATGTACGTAGTTAGTTATGTACCATACATTTGTGTGAGTTTTTTTTACACTAAATGACACATTGGTCAAGTGAATGCGAGAAGTATTTAGCCCTCTGTTGTAATCCCATCCAGCATCCACCAATTAGCATGATACTATCCAATTACAGAGTATCAATCTAGGGATGATCAAAATATTTCATTTCCTGTTTGCCCTATCAACTTCACCTCTATCAGCTGTGCCTCTAGTCATTTTAATTAGCCTCACTTTCACCCCTCGATCCTGTTTAGCATTCTCAAACAAAAGTCTTTCTGCCATTGATCCTTCTACATTTTATGTATTTCATATTATGAGTGTAAATGATAAGATAATAGACCAACTTTCATTGTGTTTTTTTTTCTACCTCACAGAATACAAGAAAAAAGCTGCGGGCAGTTCTCTGGGTTTCATCCGATGGATTGAGAGTAGTAGAAGAAGAGAGTAAAGTAAGTTTTGATGCAATATTGAATTGCCCAGGCCCCACCACTGATATTTATCTTTGCATATTTCACAGTTTCTTAAAATTGTATGCATTGCACGCACTGTGCTTGGATCTTCTTGGCTTTGTAAATTGGTTGCTTTTATTAATACTAAGTACATGTAATTTACTAACATGTACCTTCAAGTCACATGTGCAAGTGCATGACTACAAGTATGAGAAGGAACTCTAGAAGACATTACGTAGTGGGTGTGGTGAATAAATTATATTATTACTAACCATGCACATGCATTGGCGCCATCTGTATGTGTGTGTGCAGTCCCATATGTGAACGATGTAAAAGATGTAGGTTTGGGCCATGTCTAAATGGAATTGGATTTGCTTGTGGTTACAGTACTTACATGTAGCATATTCCATACCAAATATTCATTGGAGCAGTGAAGAAACAATCAAAATGCCATCTGTCTGGCAGAATTAGGGCCATAACTCTGTGTTAAAGTACATGTATATGAGTTAACCCCCTTCTAGCTTCAGACAGATGATACCCATATAGTTGTTATTCGAGTGCAATCAAAATTCATCATCATTTAGATAAGTTAGTAACAGAGGAATCCATTTATTTGCAGTAATGTGAGTCATTAAAGCATATTGATTGATGAGGTAATTGATGAGGTATGTATGTATGTAAAGGATGTATTCCTGAAAAATACTTGACACATGTGTCACAATTTGATTTCAAAGAATAGGCTTCAGACAATGTTGAGGAAAGCCCTCTTAGATATCAAGACATTTACCTACATTAGTCATCTGTATATTGGGTGATTTCAAGTTGGGTATTCAGTGTTGGTATTAGTTTGGTGTGGTGGCTGGTGTTAGTGTACTCACAACACCAACACCAGCTTTCGACACTGAACTTGAAATCAATCATTGTAAAATTGTAACCTGCAAACTACACATGTATGAAATTCAAAATATCAATGGCTATATGTGATACACATCCATTTCACAACATTCCAAATTACAAGATGACATGTGCAGTGTTAAATAACCCCCAAAAGGGAAAGAACAAGTACAATTTCTTCAATTTTTTGTTATCTTTAATTGTTTTTTCCCACCTACCGGTACACATCTTGTGTTGAGCAATTTTGTTTGTTGTATTTTGACCTTTGATATATTTGCAGTTCAATTGATATTTTTTTAAATAGTTCATGCATGAGGGTGTGTCTGCAATGCAGTGTTTTTCAATTTCCAGTACAAGGTCATTCATGCCTTGTTCTTCTTTGGTATTTTTAAATTTGGTTTTTGTGTTTGAGCATTTACAACATAATAAATTGGTTGGCATATACATGTATATATATATGGAGGCCATATTGATCACTCGTGGCATGAGATAACTGCAGTTAAAAGTAAACAATATGACAGTAAAAAATAAGTAGTCAAAAAGAAATCCTCTTGATTTAACAGCTCTATAGATCTGCTAATTTATATCACCCTTGAGTTTGAGTCCATTGTAAGTAACATGATGACATCATACTATGGGAGGTGTGAGTTTGTTTACATTGCATTAATGCAAAACAAACCCCTTTCCTTTTTTTCCAAGCACTTAAACAACCTTTGTATCATTTTTGTATTCTATTTTCAGGGTAATCATATAATTGGACAGGTACATATACATGTGCAAAGTCTGATGCTTAAAATGTTAAAGGGATCTGTAAAAATATGTAAACAAATCAGTTGGCTCAACCAACATGAAGAGTGTGGACTTTAAAGAAAGGCACATGTACAGTCTCAAGACAGTTGACACATGAGAGAAATGTAAAGGATTGGAAATCTGCCAATAATATATCTATACCGGTAGTTCACTGCACCACCTAATCGCCACTACTGAAACAAAATCTCTTTTGATTACATTTCTTATTTTCTGCTAAGAACTACAGTAAAGGTTCTTTTTATAGAATTCACTTACACCGTCTGTAGATTTATGTGATACTATCTGTATTGTAGGTATGTTTCAACAATTTTCAGATACCAGTTTCATATACAATCAATACATGTTATTCAAGACCAAACAAATTTGTCCCATATTGTATGTAATTACCAACCACATCTGAAAATTTAGTAATCTGATCTTTGTATTAAGTTAATATATCTGCTGAAACTGAGATCAGATCAAATAATGAAGCAAAATTATACATATGAAGTCAATTTATGCTTATAACTCCACAATATTTGGTATTGTATTGGACATATCATACAGCCATTATATAAAACCTGTACCATCCAACACTGCACCAATGCTGTTACTGGAGATATGGCATACATTATTACCAGGGCCTATAATACATGTACATGTAATATGAATTTGCTCATACCAAGATTGTGAAAATTTCCTCAAAAGTACATAGCCTGTAGGCCTGCATAATTAACATGCATCTCCTGTACCCAGCGGGCATAATTTTAGTCTGTAGATTGCATTATCAAGGACACAAACGTAATTGCTGAAGTTTAATTTGCATCTCTCTTGGCAGTCTGTGTATCTGTGTGCCATGCAGCTCTGGTGCTGTGATCATGGATGAATGACTTTGAGATGAATTTCCCTTTTTTCACGAATCTCGATTGAATATTAAAGATAAAGACCAGTTCTGGTCATGCGATTGCCTTGTGAAAGAAACGTGGAATCGATAAGAAAAGGTTGATCATGTAGCATATCAGTATTGATGTATACTGCAATTTTCAAGCCCAGTCTTGGTAAAGTTACAAGCACTATACACAGAAAGATGTATATGGGACTAGGGAAATGGGACAGATAGATATAATAATTTACCAAATATATCAATTAGTAGGCGGTTTCCCGGCAAAATTTGTATCACCACATATTAGTCAAAACATATTCATTCACATGATTGGTAATAAGAGCTTCCATTTCATTTTTTGAGAGGGGAGCGTTTCTAAAACTGGTCTTTACCTTTAAAGTTATGTAATGTATTCCTATTTCCTCAGTATAACCTTATTTCACTGGATTCTGGAGAACATGTTTTATATATGAAAGTAAAATTGGCTGCTATTTCTTCAAAGTGAAAAAAAGAACATAGGAACAAAGAGTGATTAGCTCTAGAAACCTGTAAAACAGCTCAGTTTAAACAAATATGTAATTACCGAGAGGAAATCTCACTTCCAATGTCCTAATTCACAAAGGTATCTGTCATGAAGTAGACATGAACAAAGAAAGTAATTTACACCATTTCCTTTTATGTAGTGAAACTTGAATGGAGAGGAAGAGCTATTCTCTAGAGAATATGAATCTTCAGACTATGGGATTGTATCTGTTGTTCCGATAAGATGTACCTGTAAAGTCAGATTAATAACTCTCTCAATTTCTCAAATATCTTACACAATGAAAAGCAATATCATGGATATGGCTGCAAATGTTTGGTCTTCTTTGACTACCCATCGTGTCATGTTATGTTCTCATGAGAAATCCCATATACATACCGGTATGCTTTTTAATTACTTGGCAAATATCGGTCCATATTTTTCATCAACATTAATCAAATATCGGTCCATATTTTTCATCAACATCATGTGGCAGATATTGTTTCCTCAAACATGTAATTCTTATGTACCTGTAGCTCATGTCTGTTGGCTTGTTTTCTTGAAAGCGGACCAACTTTAACCAGGTTTAAACTCAGACTGGTCGTCTGATTTTTTCTTCAACTTCTTGTGTGAATTACAGTCCTTCTGTAACTACATTTTTTAAGGAAAAGAAACATAATTCACATTACAGGATATTAGTTTTTTATCGTCATTTGATGACTTGATTCATTTTCTTTACTCATCTCATCTCAGAATAATTTTCTTGATTTTCTTTTTCCAAAATGGAGAATTCCAGAAATGGGTGAACTTATAGCCCTATACAGAATATTTTGGGAGGGGGGGGGGTGGGGTGGACTAGAAGGTCATGACCTTATAGGTCGTTTTGGACTGACATTTGCTTCAGCAGCTGTCATATGTGGTCAAAGTGCTGTTTGCTTCTATATACTGGAACTCTCAACCTGTGTATTGTTATATATAAACAAGTTTGTCCTATATTGGAGAACTATATGTATATTTTAGTTTAAATAAAAGAAACTGAAGTACATGTAAGGACAGATTAAGTAATTTAATGAGACATGAAATTGGAGCTTTTTGTATGCATTCATACATTTCAAGAAAACTAGAATATTGAATTTAGCCATTATGTGGAGATGTAGTCTACTGTATATTATGTGCATATTTTAGTCTTGAGTGGCTGACCCCAGGGGTCCATGAATGGCATGATTACTATGATCAGTCATCAATCTGACAGTTTTCCCCTGCAGAATATTGCCTCGATCAGCCTTCAAAACCCCCAATTGATTTGAAAGGGAGGTTTGAGTATGAATTTTGTCATTGTCCCCGGTGTGCCCTTGCTATTTTTAATCTACTCACAAAATCGGTGTTCCGGTAAATTCTAAACCTGTGTGTATGCATGCTGCATGTTGTTACCACGCAGTGTGATGAAGATGGAGGTATGTTAATTCAGAGGGAAAGAGAATAATGCCTAAATTAGATTTACTACTCTACGTATCTAGGCCTACAGAAAACGTGTGATCAACCATATGTCTTTACATGAATTATTACTTGTGGCAGTATAATCTGTTAATTTAAAAACAAGGAAAATTTATTGTATTCCCAACATCATATTGCTGTGACACTGAAACCAATTTCATTCTCTCTCTCATGGACTCCTTGTGGCTGTGTATGGTTCATAATGTGCCATTATCGAATTGGATACATGTACATGTATCTCATTTTGAAGCAGCAATATGTTGTTCATCTTTTTTTATAGAAGCTTCAGTTTTAAAAAGGTTGTTTCTCCCTTTGAATAGTAAAATAAAAAATTTCCCCCTATATGTTCCTGGCATGCTGGACTTTCATTTTATTTATTTCTCTTTGAAGCTTTTAAAGCTGACATGCTTTCCAAGCACATAATTATTGATATTACTAAGGCCAAATATAAAAAATGTGAAGTTTTTCGTCTTCGCGCCCGCCTCCTTTTTGGTCGCCCCTCCTTTATTTTTTACTATTTGCTATTCAGAAAAAATAAAGCCTGTGATATACATTTTGTTTAAATAGCTTCTAAAGTGATACAAATCATTTGTTTTGTCATACATTACATCAGTATACTCACATAGCACAATATCTGTGAATAAATAGGCTTGGTCAGCTATAATTAGCATGGCAGCCATCTTGGGAAAAAAATGCAGAATAGTGAAAAGTAATGCCTTGCCTCTTCCTTTTTTTAAAGTCTGGATGAGAAACACATTATTTTTGTTATTTGGCCTAACATGTATCTTTGTCAAATTATTTTGATGTTTTCCCTAGTGAATATGCATGATGACCTATTTCCTTTTTTGTTTGTTTCCTGCAGGGCCTTATTGTTGATCAGACCATAGAAAAAGTGTCCTTTTGTGCACCTGACCGCAACAATGACAAGGGGTTCTCCTATATTTGCAGAGACGGTACTACCAGGAGATGGCTATGCCACTGCTTTCACTCGCTACGAGAACCCGTGAGTAAAACTTCCTCATTAATCTAATGTTCATATTTGTATGTCTCCCCCGAGTTGATCCCTCCCATCTTAACATTTTCCATTTCTGTAGGAGCACCTGTACTATATTCTTTACAAGCTTTGATCAATGAACGGAACAAACAGTATACATCACAGTACATGTAGCCAAACAGTGTAGCAAGTCTCAGCGTGCATCAATATTGTCGGTATTTGAATTTTGAAATTATGTGCATTTCATAGTGCCTTAATTTTTATACGAGATAGAAATATGCATACGCGCATCTCAGTCATTCATTATCACTTTTAGCCATGGGTTATCACTTTTTTTATTGGAACTTTTTTGCATGTGGGCGCGGTAGGAAAGAAAGTTGCACAGTCACGTAGTGTCATTTGACCATTTAGACTGCCTACAATACTTGAAGTTGAGCCCGCTTTGTAATCATACATGTATGTGCTGAGAGCAAGAAGGGAGTTAATTTACAACAACATTCAACCCCGGTGGGGTCACTCCCCTGCAAAGAGTGACACGTATGACCGTTACCACCAATGCATATAACCCCCTTTTGCGGTCAATTTCAAGGACATTTTGTGAAACTTAACCCCCTTTTTTTTACGTCAAAACAAGGACAAAATCGTACTTTGGAATACCCCTATTTATAAGATTGTAAGGACACTTTCGCAAATTTACCCCTATTTTACCATATTTCAAGGACAAGACTTGGCTCCGAGAATTTTTCTTCCCGGTTTTCTCTTTTCCCTTTTCCTGACCCCCATTTATCAATTTCGGGGACACCTGTGCACCCCTATTTTCTTTATTTCGAGGAATATTTTGTCCGCGGACATTGCTTGAAATTGACCCCTTTTTCCGCGATTTTGGTAACGGTCATGCGGTCCGGAAGTCACATTGAGTGACCCCACCGGGCATTCAACACAGATTTACACACTTCTGGCTCTCAAAACATGGTATGGTGTAGTTGCACATATACTGTAGGTGCATGTATGAACACATCCCCTGCTCCTCCCTTTTAGGTATGTCCTATTTAGTACCGGTAAGTCTTCAATCCTTCTTATGCTCATGGATTTGCTTTTAGACCAAAAAATAGATAATCTCTAGTAACATAATCTCTTTGAAGGATTAGACAATATCGGAGGGCTGGATTTCCTAGGGATGACTGTAATGACCACGTCTAAAGCTCTGCTAGGAATAAATGGAACAAGGGGATGATCCTATGCATCATAACCCCCATGCAGTGGCCTGATTTTCCAGTAGAAGCTAGCTCAAGCGAGACACTCAATTCCATAGACTGAAGGGACATGTCAAGGCTACTTCCTGTAAAGAATACCCATTGTGTCCCCAAAAGCTTTATAAATTCTTGTTTCTTTTAATACCCAGAAGGGAAGAGGAGAAGTGCTTGAATAGCAGGCTATGTTCTAAATATAATATTTGGTGGCTAGAACAAAAGAAAATAATATGGCCATAAATACACTTGTGGGGGGGGGGGGGGGTTATTAAGGATGCATTTGACCTACAATGTACGTGATATGCTCTGTTTTTGTCTTGTTTGTTTTTTGTCATACCTACTAGACTCTATTTTTAAAAGTTGATTTGTTTGCAATATAGAGCGGGGGAAAAGACTCCCCAAAATAATGAATAAATGGGGTAAAAATATACATTTGTGGAGGTATTTGAAGATGCATTATGCTCATATGATACACTTTTTTTTTGTAATAAGGAACCATGTAAAAGAAATTTTTTTTTTTGGCTAGAACAAAAGAGAATTGTCACAATAAAGACTGTTGTTGAATTTGTAAAATGTACATTAGGCATGACTTTTAACTAGAAGGCACCATTTAAATAAATGAGAAACTGTAAGATATAAATGCATTACTTGTCAGGCATTTAATAATGCATTAGGCTTATTATGATAATCTTTTTAGTAGGCAACCTTTAAATAATAGAAGGAAAGGAAATGTAGCAAATAATACACTTGTGAGGTACTTGTAAGGATAAGTGAGTCCCATCCTATCTTTAGAATACGTGATGAGCAATCAACTGGCTAGGGAATACCAATCCAGGAAATTATACAGTGATTGAAGTTATGATAAGAGTTGAGTATTTTGTTGAAGAGTTTATCCCAACTGTCATACCACCTATAAAGCAGACGTCTCGAGAGGATTTTCCATATGCATAAATCCTAGGCAAGAACTTATCCGGATTTGCTGAAAAGGGTCTTGGAAAACGGTTTATAATATGTAAATGGCAAATAAATGAATTTTTCATTCTGAGGGTTTTAAAATGACAGATTAATGCCACAAGTATCTGATGGCAATTTTCTTTTGAATAATAAAAAACGTCTTTATAAAGCTGTTTATCCATTTTATTCTCATAGGATATTGGCCTATTTACAATGTATACATGGCAATTTCTCTTTGTTAACATTCTATGCAAATGTAGATCTCTTGACCAAATGCATGTACCTTACATGTAGTAAAGAAGAAGAAAAAAAAAAAGTTGGCTTCTTCTTGTGCATCAAGCTTACAACCAATACTATTCTTGCATTGATTGTAAAAAAATAAACTGAAAACAACCTTATTTTTATCCAAAGAACAACAAATAATAAAATTTTATGGATATGGCAAATGGCAGAACATTTTCATAATTGAATTGAAAATGATCCATCTCAACTACATATAGGTGTTATTGCTCCATCTACAGGCACAGCACACAATTTCATGTCACCTTCATTTTGAATGGTTCATTTGACATCCTAGTATGTTCTATTCTTTTTCTCTCTACAGCACATAATTTTAAGTCACCTTCCTTTTGAACGGTTCATTTGACATCCAAGTATGTTCTCTCTCATGATTATCTCAGGGTGAGCGTCTGAGCCATGCGGTGGGTTGTGCATTCGCAGCATGTCTGGAGCGCAAGCAGCAGAGGGACAAGCTGTGTGGAGTCAAGGTGGAGTTTGATGTCAACAAGACCAGCTTCACAAGACAAGGATCCTTCCGAGTAACCACCATGACCGAGGCTATGGAAGCAGCCGATGTGAACACAACGGAAGAGAAGGAAAATGAAGGTATGGAACTGATTTGAGTGATATGCAGCGTGAAGGGACCTTGGATGAAGCAGGTTTCACAAGACATAATAACATAATAATCATGATTGATATTATGATGGAAAATACAGATAATAGGTATAAAAATAGAGCAAAGCAATAGTTTCATGTGAAAATGAAGGTTGTTGTACTATGCCTAAATCCAGACCGTAAAATACTTGCAAACAGACTTGAAAATCTGCAAGCAAAATCATTATTCTTCATTTTGAAAAGAGGACTTTTTCAATTTGGTTTATCCTCATTTAAACAATAATCAGCTAAAGCATGTAAAACAAAACAAAAATTAAGTTTGTTCAAACTTCATTTTAAAAGAACAAAATCTCACTTTTGTAGTGGCTGTCTTGAATTTGTTTTGATTTTGAGCCAATGCCCTCAAAATGTTATGAATTGTCTTGCTCGGGGGAAAGTGCCCCCTGCTTTGTGAAAGGCGGCACTAGTAGCAAGTAACCCTCTGTCTGTCTGTCTGTCTGGGACTGCATGGGACATCCCCTAGCTACTGCTGTAAAATGTTCGATTGTGTTACTTCAAGTCCTCTCCATGGGGGATGGAATGTTCATGTCCTAGGGCCATTTCAGCTGAAGGTTATACCCCATACCCCATACCCCTCAGAAAGATGGAGATAGATGTGAGCATAAATGGGCTTTTGTCATATCAAGGAGATCATTGGTTTTATCAGCCACGTCAAGTGTAGCTGGAATCCCTCTCAAGGATGTGTCAGTCACTTTCAGATAACTGTTACAGCTTTTACTTTCTTATTTACAACAGAATGTCTTGAAGTTGTAGGGTCCTTATTTCACAATACGGGTAAATGAGCAGGCAGTATATATGTGAACATGCATTGAGGTAGCCTGTGATGATCATCACAAAAGCAACAGTGTTCCTGTTTTGAGCAAAAACACCTGGTATTACAAAATATGACTTTCATAGCACTCTGACGAAGTGACTAAAAATAATTAGACTCAAGTTAAAAACTGTTCGTATATACATTGCTGATATAAAATAAGTAATACTAAAGGTCTATCAAAATATATCAATGCTTATGCCTCCTGGTATCAATGATTTAATGTAATACTTATTTGACTGCACCGCTTGATAGTCTTTTGTAACAAATGATGATCACTTTAAGTGCTTATTGTTGGGAAAACCCCTTAATCAGGATAGACAGGTAGAAGAGGAATTGCCCTGTAGCCATATGATACTATCATAACAGATGAATAACACCTGTTCTAGATTAAAGGGCATAATATGACTTGAACTTATTTTATTTTTTAAAACAAATCTCACAACATATGAAGGAATAAAACAAACAATTTAACCCAAATGAAGACTACATATTAATATAATGGCATGTTAAATTATCATCTCTTCAGGTTAAACCCAAAACTATTGCATAGTGAAATTCTGCAAACTATCATCCGATATCACTGTGTTAGATATAGCTTTCCGATGATATATAATTGATCCATTTTATTTTTCAGTTTGGATATTGTCTTTGAGATGAAACATCATGTTAATACACATCTGTAATCATTTTACATTACCACAGAGATGCCAGTTGCAAAGAATGTTGCCCCACTACCACATGCTATCCCAAGAAGACATGCCAGCAGTGATATGCTGATCAGGCAAGGTTCTGTACGCCTTGGAAAGATCAACGAGGCCACACCATTCAAGCGCCAACTCTCCCTCAATCTCAAGGAACTGCCTTCTACGTTACAGCGCCAACAGCAAGTTCTGCAAACACACCCAGAAGGTACGTTTGAAAAAGAAGTGATGTTCAACAGGACTTTAAATGAAAAAAAGTTGGTGTGGAGCCCTGTACGGAACCTTATATGTGCTCTAATTATGTCAAGTCTATTGAGCTTTCCTGGTCCAAACCTACTTGGTTGCAGTATGCTCTGTCTTATAGAACTTGTGCTTTCTATAGCACAAAACCATTTGTCATGAAAGAAATTGTTATTAGTTTAGTATAAACCCTGATCATCAGCAGTCACGCTTAAACTGTAAATTATGAAAGTTATGAGGGCAACTGTTAAATCTGCCTGCGTAATGTGACATTTCTTTCACATCTGGTTTGTGAATATAACTGTAAATTTTTCATTTGGCAATGATATGATATGCACGGGAATCCCTGTGATTTTTTTTCTTCTTTTGGTGACAATTCTGGAGAATCTTTTACATACCGGTACATTCAATACTCTCATTTAAATTGTTGTCTATCACCATATGATATCCCTCACTCTGAACTATAACGCACATACAAAGATAAAAAGATACACAATGTACATCTTTCCCACTACCCCCCAACCTTCCTCATTTTGAATATAGAATAATGAATATGAAAATCCATAAACAGGGACAAAATTGGAGATGTGCCAACTATGCTTTCATAATTTGTTTGACATTCTGTCGCTTCGTAATTACACTGGGAAACTAACTTTATTAGACCTTATCCCAAATGAAATTTCAAGGAAGTCGTTGATGGGTGGTAGATCCATTTCCCTAATGGATTGCATTCCATTAATGAGTTCAGTGATATGCATGGAGAGTATATTGCTGAATAATTTTTTGCAAAAAAAAAAAGGGAAAAGGTTCCATCGTCTAAAAGTATTGTCATTGCTTTGCACATGCTACCAGTTATATCTGCATGTATGAAAAATCACTTGTACTTGTAAAATTGTAACCTTGAATTTCTGCAAAGGAGGTAGTCATTTAAAAATATATATGAAGATTATTCAAGATATTATGACACACGTTTATGAGTTGCGTGAATATACTCTTATGGATAAATTTGCTAGAATATTCAGAATCTTTTGAAGACAGCCTCTTCTCATCAATGAAAAGATTATTTTTCATGTTGTTGAAATATTTATTTTTAAAAATCTTTTAGAATTTAAAATTCTAATTGTAACATTTGTACAGAATTTGTTTAAATACAGTATGATCAAGTATGTGTATGTATTTAGATATGAGCTTCTCCAGTGGCTTTTTATTTGAGATGTCATGTTGACAGCTGTTTAAATTTGATGGCTAACCAAACCAGAAAGACCGAAATCTGACAATTGTATTTTGGGTACAGGCCAGTACTATACTCTGGCTTCACTCTTGTATTGTAAATTGTGTTGTTTGTGTAGGAAGAAAAAAGATAACGAGGTGGAAAAACCTTACATGTATGAAGATAGGAATAGGAAGTACACTTAAATTAGGAATGGTGAGGGCTTACAATGTACGAGGGACATTGATCTCTTGCTTACCAGTAACAGGACACCATAGATATATGTCAGCCTGTCACCATGTAAACATCAAAGTGCATGCATACATGTAGCAATAGATCAAGTGCTGATGACATTTAAACATTGGCAACCAGTGTCATTCACATAAAGCCATTGTACATGCGCATCTCTGGGAGAAAGAGAGAGAGAGAGATATATATAGGAATCTTGTTAGTTGGTTGCTGAATGGAAAGTAATGTGGTTTCCAAAAATTCTGTATTATTCAAGGCACATGTAGCACATATTAACTTCTTGATATCATGATGGCTGCTTTACAGGACTAAGGGTTGATGATGCAACTCAGAAAGATGTTAAATAACTGATTTGAACTTTTGAAAACGGCTACATGGAGTAGGTTTAGAAATAATAAAACCTTTGAAATACCTGTCGAATGAAAAGGAAAGTGTTCGTGGAATTAAATTTCTTTTATTCTGAAGTATGTTTTACTTAATGTTTTATTGCTGCTATAAATGAAAAGGACAGAATAGATTAGGCTAGACAGTAATTTCTTGGAAATGAAAGGGAATGTCATATATTCTGAAGATCTGTCTTTTTTATGATAATAGTAATGACAATGGAAGAGAACAGGAACTTGCAGATATTTGTCTTGGAAGTTTATGAGACATGCTTTTTTTAAGTATCTCACAACAATAGTTGATAGGGTGTTTGTACCGTTTAACACAAAAAACAATCTCTTTGACCTGTTTTGTATTCCAGTATCACCACCCACATCACCACAAGAAACCCCAACCCGCACACCAGCAACCAACGGTCACTCCTCTATAACCAACGGTAGCCGAGAGGCAGGGGGTCAGCAGGATGAAGAGTCTATATCATCAGCCTGTGCTCAGCTTTCTTCAGGACTCTTCCAGCTGTCCAAAAATGAGGCATCTGCTGCTGCTGCAGCTACCCCTCCACCCATCCCTCAGAGACCCAATGCATCACAGAGGTTACCTGCAGAGAGCAGAACTCAGGGTGTACCTCAACCAGGTGAATAATTGTTACTATAAATCCATATTTATGAAGTGTAATTTCCTTGTTAAATGCCAGGCATTTGTGCATGATGCCTTGGATTGAATTGATGATCTTTTTTTATTTTATTTTGAGAATATTGCCAATTTGACACATGGTGATGTAAAATGTGTTAAAAGAAATGGCTACAAAAGAAATGGCTTGTTGAGTTTAGTTGGATTCATTACATAAGAACAAAGCAAACATAATTAGAATGTAACACAAAGTTAATCTACTTGTACATTATTCCCTTTTAGGTATACTGAGACCTGAGCCAGGCCCTATCAAGCAGAAGAACCCCTGGGAAGGATCACCAATGGCACCCCCCGCAGGACAAGTGCAACCGACCCCTCCACCCCGCCCCAAACCAACCCCAGGTCTCACTCAGATTACACCCATGCCTGGTACAGCCATCAACCCTTGGGCAGGAGCCACCCCTCCCTCACTCAATCCATCTAGCAGGCAGAATGACCAATGGTCATCGCAACCCATGGTCACCCCTAATCCGTTCGGCACACAAGGCGCTGTCAACGGGCAACAGGTTGCATCGGTACAGGTGCACGGTGGAGCAATGCAGAACGGAGTCGGCATGCATCCTCAGCCTATCTCTTCTAACTTCAACAATGCCAACAACATGGCCCTCCAGCAGCAGCAGCAGCAGTATTCTGTAGCTAATCAAGGAGGAGTTGGTGGTGTGTCTGGTGGTATCGGTGGATCATGGACAGCTGACCTGTCAAGGACTTTACCCCAAAATGCATACTCTGCAAATCAGCAGCAGTCCCCTGCATGGTCTGGCCCTCCACCCAACCAAACATCACCGCCACAAGCAAATAATCCATTCAACAATGCTGTCAAAACCTTTGAAATCAACCTATGAGAGTTCTGAAGTGTAGAAAAGTATTAGCATCTCATCGTAAAGAGTGAGAGGAAGAGAAAGACCTGCTGCCTTACAGATACATATGGACAGTGTATCCTTTATCGTTAGGCACAGACAATAGTTTATTTTATATTAAATTAAGGCATTTGATGTTCAGCTTTTATTGCACCTTTATACCAACAAATGTTCAGTACTGTTTAATATAAATTGACAAATTCTTGAAACGTATTCTCTTCTGCCATCTGTGGCCGGTATGAACAGCCCAATTCTTTATGGCTGTGATATTGAAGTAGTTTTTTATTAATTCATCTTTATTGTAACAAAAGTCAACATTCAAATATAGAATGAATATGAAAAACCCAGGTCCGAGGTTTACAAATGAAAGTAGAAGTTCCTCAGGCAAGGTAACATAACTAGTACATAACAATGTGCAGGGGGACAAAACATGGATACAGACATAGATGCCAAATGAAATAAATAGTTAAAAACTTAACTCTGAAATAATTGAAAACAAAGAAAGGAAGTTAGATGAAGATATTTATTATTAATCAGCCATTTGGTTTTAGAGAAAAAATATGGACACCAAACCAAAGAGAGTCAAAGTGGTTTATTATTATTTATTTTTTTTCTTTCTTTAATTCTTGTTTAAAAGAACCCCTTTCATGCATAAAATTCTGTGAAGGTGGTGGCATGTACTTGAAGATAACCAGAGATTAAGGTTTTTAACTATTTTCAAAATTCATAGCACAAAATATACAGTATATGCCATTAATACTAACAATTCATGTCTCTAATTAGTAGATGAATCTCATTTTAATCCATTATAGATGATCTGAATGGAAGATCATTTCAATTTTGTTAAGACCTGAAATTAAAGATGTAGTAAATCTGTCATGCCTTTATTAACAATTTAACAGGGTGATATCTTCAGGAATGTGAGAAGTAGTTTCAATAGTATAAGTTCCATGAAAGAGAACAAAATTTAATTTAAAAAAATATTTTTGCCCCAATAATTCACATGTGAATTGAAGCCATACAATAGAAGGGATTTGCACGACGTTTCTGATGAGCTCTTTGAAAAAAGGAACATTCAAGAATTTCCTTTACATTTATTCTTCACTTTTATGAAATACAGTTTTTTCAGTCCTATGAGAGCAACCTGTATTCATTAAAATCAAGTACAATAGTACATACATGTACATATATCCCCCACCCCCCAAACAAAAAACAGAAAAGAGAAAACGTCTGAACCCTCCATTTGCAACTTCTCATACACATTCTGTAACACTTTATACTATAAAGAGAAAAACAGTTTTCTAAAGATATATTGGTGTTATTATTATTCAAAATATTCATTATTTCACCAAATGGATGGGCTCACAATGCTAGACTTCAAGCTTTAATTGTCCCTGAATGAAATACATAGCGGTACTGTATAAAACAAATTATGAAATGCCCATAATTCAAAAAATGTAACCTGTTTTCTGTTTACATTGATAGGATTGAGTTGTTTTGATTCTTGTAATCATCTTACTTGTAGACTCCACAGGTAGCAGTACTAATCTACATTCACAGTCATGTTTTCACTCCTATAATTATATGAAAGCTACGCTTGGATGAAACATCATCGGACATCACACTTTAACACAGATGCTTACAAAAATAATGGAGGTCCATGTGATTGTAAATTTATTTTGTTCTATTTGTAACTTGAAATGCATCGTGGAAAGGGAAAGTGCTTGTTTATGTATATCATTTATAAAACAAATTATGTATTTATTCTTGTCTTTTTAAGTGTGGATATTACGACTATACATATCTACATAGATGAGAATGTTTTAACCAATTTATTTTCTACGCTGCTTATCTTTAAAATTGTATATGGTTTCATTTCTTATAGTTTTATGTTATTGATTTGTGAATTTGTTTCAGGGGAGATCATGGTATTTAGTGTGAAAAGGATGGAGATTGCACTGATGGTGTTTTGCTCTGTTTCATAATATTGTGAAGTGTATAGAATTGGTCACAATTGTAAGATTTGATTTTCCTGTGGAATAGAACTTTGTCCGTAAGTTGAGATCATTTTCTGAAGGCATTATCTTCCTGATGAATAACAATAAATCAACACAATCAACAGAACTTGATTCAGTAGAGGCATGTACATGTATGATAGGATTCGGTACAAGAAGTAAATGTAAAGAAACAGCAGATGTGTTTATCAACTAATGACACTTAATAATCTTTGGTTGAAATCATCTTCACATTACAATTCAGTTTTTGTATATGACCAGTGCTTAAAATCATGTGTTGCGTTCCTCTTGTACAGATGAGATGCGGGACCCATTTCACAAAACTTGTCATCAGTGACAAATGACAGTTTTTGTTATAAGTTAGTGAAATCCTTGCTTGTGATTGGTTATCAGCAGATTTGTCACTGATTTGTTTTCATTTGTCATTGAAAAAAGGCTTTGTGAAACGGGTCCCTTGTTAACACTCTGTACCGCAGTATGTATCAAAGTATACATAGAAAGTATATGTTAAATTTTATTTTATGACCCTCTTATATATAATATATATATATTCTTTTACTTCTACAGACTCACTATGAAACATGGGAATGTATAATATATGTTGTAATGCTAACATATAGCAGTCCTTTGATTTGATGCACTGGGTTTCATTTAATTTCAGTTGATGTGTGAAGTGTGCCGTTCATTTGAAAAACTTTCAGTCAGGGAGGAAATAATGACCAACATTTTGTGATGTACCTCTTGATAATTAATGTTTCTCATTGGGTGAGAGTATTCCTCAAGCCTAGCATGCAAATGGAATTGTATTCAACTTTCAGACTGCTTGCATTGGTTCTTCATCACTACTGAAAACCACATCAATTGAAACTCGGTTTATAAAATGATACCTATTGCTATATAAACAAAAACTTTCAAGTGTAAATGGACCTTTTATAGTTTCTGTTTTTCTATGAAGTACTATGTGAAGAATATGTTTTCGAGGACAATGTGTATTCATTCAGAATTTGTATGCATAAAATAATTACTGTAATAATGTGACAAGTTTTCAATCAAATGCATAATGTAGCTTATGTTGTTACATGATATTAAAAAAAATACTGTTGAGATCATAGTGTGTCATTTATTGTCCATGTTGATCTGTCAAATGTCTTGAAAGATTTTGTGTACCAATCAAAATATTAAGGAATTAGATAAATGATTCTATCAGTTTCCATGTTGATATGAAATTTGTCTTGGGCTATACGATTCATGTTCCTGCATTGTCTTACTGCTTTATAAGACAAAGACAATTTGGAACCATCAATGCTGGCAAATTTGAAAACAGGCTTACTCTACTGTGCATGCAGTATGTAAGCTAACAGAATTCATTTTGATATTCTGCAGTGAGGTAATTGAACTTATTGAAGTGAGGTTTGAACAAGAAATATTACTAATTCAGTTGGTTGGGGGTAAACACATGTATTTGATTTTTACCAAAATGTAATCAAGACATCGGAACAGTGTTGAATCTGACAAGATAGAAAGCTATACTGTGATTCTTTTGTATTGGTTTTACCAAGGGTCGTTTTTCATTTTTTGGAGAGCTCTTTTGGAGCTTTCCTATTGTTAAAGTTGCTCATGAGTGGATATATAGAGCCAACTTCACGAATATACCAACACATGAACATCTTTCAAGTTGTATGTAGCTCTCATTTATTTTTTCACTGGAAATAGAATGGGTAAGTTGAGGAAAGGAAATAATATACAACCCTTTTTGTAAACATAAAACTGATTACGGTTGAAATAAGTACATGTAAGAAGAAAAATACTTAATATACAGGTATAGTATGTACATATATGTCTTTAACTATTTTTAATTGGGTAAGTATATCCACGTTGTTTCTTTTCTGTGGAATACTTCTTTTTATGGGATCATACAAACCACATTCTAAATGTGTTTGAACTTCTCTTTGCTGCTCAGATGTCATAAGTATCTAATGAGTGTTGTTTGTGGTTTATGTATGTCAACTGTTTTAAAAAAAAGAGACAAATATGACAGAATTAAAAGTACTAGAAAGTTGTGTGCATCTTTGAGGAAGTAGTCGATGTTGATTTGAGTTGAACCTATCTGTCGCCACGTGTGCCGTAAAGATGTTAAAGGAAGGCACGCTAGCAACAAGTTGTATTCATTAGTGAAAAAAAGCGAAAGAATAAGCATGTGTACATAGGTCTATGTGCTTATTCTTTTTGTATTCGTTTTAACTTTACAGCTCTTTTGTTTTTTTATTTTACTTGAATGGTGACATTTGTTTTTCTTTGTTTAAATAGAACCTAAAATGAGTTTTAAATGGCAAGCGCACACACAAGGAGCAACTGGATAGAATTTGTATTCAGTGACTTTCATAGATTATATTTATACTTCATTGTGTTCTCTTTTTTCTTATGTTTAAATTGAATTATTAGCACCATTCATTTTATTGAAACAGCATGTATATACACAGCTTCTCTCTTTGCTTACACACCTACATAGACTGTGCCCATTCTTTTTGATGTACTATTGTATGTTAAGTACCCCCTCTCCCAGTACACAGTGATTTATGTCTCCTTTTCTCTCTATTCATAACTATATCTATATATATATTTCTCTCTCCATATCATTGTATTCTCTTTAATTTTCTTTACTCTAATGGACTTCCCTTTTTTTCCATTTACACTCGCTAGTGATGACTTGTAAATACATAAAACCATGTATAAATAATCATGATAAAAGATCAATACTATTTGTTAAATAAACATATTAAAAAACAGCCAAAATGGTTTGAATTTGTTGTCATTTGTTGTACTGTGCTATTGAGTGTTGACTGCAAGTGGTAAATTTGTTCATTAGCTCTGAAACAGACTAGGAATTAAAGTATCTTGGAGATGTCAAGAGTTACTTCTTTTTTTTTAATTTAAAAAAACTACCAACAAGCAAAATAAATTTGATTTCAGCTATGCCATGAAGGTAGTTTTGCTGAAGTAATAAAAAAAAAACTGGGGACCTACAGCTGGATGCTCTTGCAAAGTACGTGCAGATTACTGAGCTCATTATTGCATGGATTTGGTTTTCGATCCTTATTTATCATTTCATAAACATGCAGAAAAATTAAACAGAAAAGTGACAGTGCAAGCAAAATCGGTCAGGGAAGTGCCGAGACCCTACAATAAACACACAAACTTTCTTGTATGAAATAAGACCTCTTTGTTAATGGTTTTATATTCTGTGGATGTTTCTCAAAAAAGACTTGTAAATTTCCCAATGGATATACCATCTCTTCAAATGGAGTAATTTTTTTTTTTTTAATTGTCGGTAGTTCTTGGAAGAGAAGTCCATTAATATGTATAGGACAGTCCATATTAGTAATTTTTTTACTTTTCATACATGGTGAAATGTTTCACTCATTCTCATTCATAACCACAAACAATATAGAAGGTAATAATAACAAAAGATGACCCATATATAATTTCCTCCTGTTTATTTGTGGAAGAATTTTGTTTCACTTTCTTGTCACATCACGTTGAAAAAATATTTTGTATGTGAACTACAGCTACATATTGATTGCAACTGGGCAAGACAATTCAGCATTAAACAAAACATAAAATGAAAGAAATAGCCAGTGTCTATACCTCAGTATTGTTCTTTGAAACATATATGGGATTCACACACAGGAAATCAAGGAGACTTACTCAAACACAAGTCTCACTGATACAGTTATGTATCCAAAAGGCACTTTTGATATGGAAGGAAACTCTAACAAGTTATAGCACCGGCTTAATATATTCTTCTGTGGTAACTGTTTGTCTCCTCTGTTAAGTACAATTTTTATTTAAAATTAAGATTATCATTCTTTCAATGGAAAAAATATGAAATTAAGCAAATTATAACATATACATAAATAGTCCAATCAGAGAGTCAGTTATATTAAGCAAGCAGGGGTGTCGCTAGTTGGAATGAGTGTGATACCCCAATAAAAAAAATTAAAAAGAATACAGCACATTTTAACCTTGTGAAAATACAAACTCTGATATCCTTGTCTTGTATGTGCGGGATGGGACAAATTCAGAACTTGTCTCCAGAAATTTTAATAGTCTAATGATCCATTCATATTTTCTTGTTGAATTATTCTTTTCCTAATGAAATGTTCTAGCGATGCCATGTGCAGAATTTTGAAGAACAACCATTACTTATGATTTAACACTGTTTGAACAAGCAGAGCACCTCATTCATAAATATATGTATGGTAAGTAACATATTGAACAGGTAGAACATGAATCAACGAAAAATAGCGACCCATAATAACATACCAAGGATCCAGTGATACATATAACTTTAAAATATAAAAAAATATATAAGTTGTCCATTGTAATTCTAAATCATAAAAACTATTGGAGGCACAATATGATGTTATAGAAGCAAAAATAAACCTGACTTGTTAAGAAAGAAAAAAAACACCTATTTGATTTTCAAATAATGGTAGGTATAGTTTCCTATCAAAAACAAGTACCGGGGGTATATCTTTCAATGAAGAAAACGTTAGTAAACATATTTTGAAAATTAGCATTCAAGGGCAGCATAGACAAATAATCCTTTATTGTCATGATGACTTCATTGTGAAATATAGGATATGTTGAATTCAATATTCATTATCATTTAATGCAATGTGACCCTTTCAAAAAACAAATGAGTTGATGGTTTTAATAAATAAAAATCACAAGAATTTTTTTTGTATTTATGACAAAAAAAATTATGCAAGAGATGTTTCATTTGCAATATGTAGGTGAAAATGAGAGATAAGAATGTATTCATATTGTATTAAAACTTTAATTAAAAGGAGAAACCTTTTTGGAATTAAAACAATAAAAAAGATGATGAGCCACTCAAAATAAATTAGTACCATAGCTTTTGGCAATGAAGTGAATGAGGTATAAACATTTAATTACACTTCTAAATTATCTTTCAATCTACCCTCATAGTGGGAAACCATAGTGGACCATAGCCATGTTAAGTTAAAACACATTGAAAAGATTGAATTACCACCACTTCTGGATAGCACGATTAGTTTTTAGTATGAAGTAAAAGAGTGAAAAAAAGTGTGAAAATATGAAAAAGTATGGTTATAGTCTTATAGATGACAAATTTCACAGTTTCTTAATAAAGTATTTGATCATGTAAATTGAAACGGTCTTACACTAAATAAGAACGCTCCTTTTGAGCTTCTTATCTTAGGAACTTTACTAATATGCACCTTTAAAATGTTTACCTGTAGAATGTACGGCAGTTATGAGGAATGATGTATTTTTGGACAGAAGAACATGATTTTTTCACCTAGGATTTCTGCTGCTAACAGATATTATAGTGATTGCGTAGCAGCATATTCCGGGTAATCAATATAACCATCTTGATTCTTGTCATCATCCCTCAAAATAGGATCAATCAAGTTCATAAGGTCATCCTCTTTGAGTGGTTCAGCATTGGGGGCGCCGTCATGGTGATAATGGGTCATCGCATTGAGGAGCTCCAGTCCATCCAGTCTGTTGTTATGATCGTAGTCATGGAGTTTGAAGTAGTGTAGCTGAAGCTGTTTCTCGGTCATCTCATTCTCTGGGATGCCCTCTATGTCTATGATCCCATCAAGGTGCTCTCGTATGTGCCTAGGAGGAGATGGAGAGAAAGAGATCACATGTATACAATCATAGCCTATAAGGCTTTCATGATTCATACCTTGAAGGCTCTAATATTGAAAACAAAACAATCATTGGAAATACAGATATAGTGTGATGGCAAGTCTAGGGCAATAAATTCCCACTCCTCTATCTTTACTAATTCACACTTCAAAGGATCTTACATAAATCCATTGGGAAATTATATACCCAATAGGAAAATAGAAATAAAAGACAATCATACATGTACACATACATGTCCATGTATCCATATATAACCTTTTGCCTATAACTATCAATTACAAAATATGTGATATTTGCATAAATACAGGTAAATATAATATATACATGTACATTTTTATACAAAAAAACACTTTCTTTTTAATGTTAATCTGCTAGCAATATTAAAAGTGTGGTACCCTACATAATCTACATGTGCTAAAATAAAATTGGCAAAATATTCCTAACTTCAAAACTCTTTAGTTTGTAACATGTATTGTAGCTTAAAATAACTTTACAACATGCTCACATGTAAAAACAAAAGTACTGGTTTAACAGGCAGCTTAGACGTATTCCCTAGAAGTTGAAACACATTGGTTGTTCATTCAATAAGTTACATTTACAAAGTAAATACACACTCACTAGAAAACAAGAACTTTAATAATAGTTGCAAGTACAGTCGGAACTCAGAAGCACAATATTTCTAGTAAATTTTGCATAGGCTTTTGCATACATGATATCTAGAAATCTTTTTGAAAAACAGGTAGAATAACATTTAAAATGATTTAAAAATCTGGCCCATTTCATCTCCAGTCTTCATCCAGCATTGAATCATACAACATTCACACAGCTGTAGACCACTGCCAAACCAGTATCGTAGCAATGTTTCTTGTATGATCCTTTGAACCTTGCTAGTCATAACCATTATTACATGATCTCCTCCTTTTTAGTTCTCCTTGTATAAAAGCTCATACAGGATCTCCTTCAAAACCATTCAGTCATCTTCAGTCATCTTCACCATAATTGTATTAATCTTCATCCTCATCATCATAGTCGTCCTCCTCATCCTCATCATAATCATCCTCCTCTTCGTCTGTTGATCGATCATCAAGTCCTCTGGAAAACTCCACATAATCCACATAACCATCCCGGTCGATATCATCATCCTCCAAGATCACATCCACTATCTCAATGATCTTCTCCTCCGACATCACTCCACCATGATGCCCTCCTTCTGTATCCCATCCCTCATCCACATGGAGAATGGACTGCATCAGTTCCAGTCCGTCTAGTTTCTTGTTGCGGTCCATGTCATGGGAGTGGAAGTAATGGAACTGCATCCTTTGAGGAGACAGGTCAATGGCATCAACATCCACTGTATCTTGGAGATGGGATCTGATGTGACTGTATGGTGGAGTGATGAAAGAAAGGATTCCTCAGTCACTCATACTGCAAGATCCAAGTGCTCAACTCATGCTAGCTCTCACATTTAAATGAAGACATCTGCTCAGTATTCATGTATTAGCTTAATGCCTCACCGAAAAGCATTCCTTTTACTAAACGTTAGTTGCTTTAAATCACGTGCTCTTAACCACATCAAACTACATATCAACATGGATTGAGATTTTGAGTCAACAAAAAGAAAACCTAAATTTAGCTGACTGTCGTCAAAACCAGAGAAAATATGCTAAATCTTCCTTCACAGGTCCATGCTGTGTTTATTTGGAGATTGTCCTATATTGACTTCCCTAAATGGGTCAATCTTACATGAAATAAAGTCGTTAACAACCTCGCAATATCAATTCTAGTATAACAGACAAGATATAAAAACCCTGTTGTGGGGTGCATTTACACATGGTAATCAGCTTGTTTCTGCATATTTGATGATTAATCTAGTTCTCTTCCTTTTTCTTACACCGTATTCAAAATGTTCATTCATTCTCCACAATTTAAAAACAAACAAAAAACATTTACAGTACCGTAATTCTTATTTGCAATACTTTAAGGCCCTACTGAATAATACTTAAATATACAGTATACATACTGTACATATATTAGAGCCAACTGTCCTCAATCACATGCAATCTGACAAACAGTAATTCAGACAAAAACATGATGAATAGGATCTTCTTGTAAAATAACTTGCATTGCTATAGAGCTTTCATGGATGATTTACAGGCAATGATTTTGTTAAATTATGTTAAAGATCATACAAAAAGATATATATCGTAGTTTGTAATTGTATATAGTTTTGATAAGTAGATGCATAATATGAGGTATTTTTTTACAGAATAGAGTATTTCACCACTTCACTTCTCATTCAAATTATTAAATATATATATCATTACACACTATAAAAGCTTTATCAATATGTTCAAAATTCTGGATGATATATAAGGAAGGTAAAATTACAAAGCAGTCATCCCAAATAAGCAGAGAGCACTCCTGATAATACTGATGCAATATAAACTACATTGTATCTTATTTGACTATGGCATATGATTGTTAGTCTTAAGTTATTATACATTGAGCAAAAAAGGAAGTATCTCTCATATCCTTTAAAACTTTAGGGATCATGCAAATAACACACACAATGGCAAAAAGCTTTGCAAATCTGAAAGAACAGCAAGCATAGCAAAAGTTAACACTCTAAAATTTCTATTACAATCTTTGTTGCATTACCTGAAAAAAAAGTAATCTACGATTCATGAATATTGTTTCAAAAAAGTAAATATCATTTCCCTATTTGTTAATTAAGAATAAAAATATGACTATTGAGTACATGTAATCCATAACATTAGCAATTTCAGGTTTTCAAACATTGCCATAAAATTGTGAAAAAGTGAAAAAGTTAGAATGGTGTCTTGGTGTTTAAAATTTGACCACAATCACATTAACAAAACAAAAAAAACTCAGACAACCTTTTGAGGATAGCTTTACATGTAGGTATTCTTATTGAGACCAAGGGAAATCAAGACAACTTTTACTTGGTCAAGAAGTAGACTTTATTTAATAACTAATCTGCCTATTGTTACTTACTGTATGTCTTGAATGTGAGACCTGTCCCTCATGAGGCTGGCGGGTGGACCAACTTTGATATGATGTTCCTCTCGTCCATCTTCAGCAGCTGCAACTTGGATTGACTTCACCATGACGATGGCAAGAAAGAGACTGTGTAATGCTGCTTGGGGAGACCTCATCATTGTTGATATTCTGTAGAAAGAAGAAAAAAGAAGAAGAAAAAAAAGGGAGGAAAAAGGTCTCACAGATTAAACAAAAGGATAACATTAACTGTCTACATACATTGTAGCTATTTTTGTAAATGGGAAAAGAAAGTATCCACTCTAACCATAAAGGCTTGATGATTTATGAAATTGATAGCTTTAAATCACAAAGCCCTAGTCTACTCATCCAAAAAGCTGAATTTGCCATTACTTGGACTATATTTGGTACAATTTCAGCATCTGAACACTACCAACAGTCCAACACAACTACAATTTTTTTTTGCAAAAAAAACTAAATAACAATTCTTTGTTTAATATGCCAATAATGATGCTTTTGTGATGATGTAAGTTTCATTTGTATCAGTGTATCTTTGAATGTAAACCATGTATATCTAATAAATATCTAATAAATCCTCTGATGAGGCAAAAGAAAAAAAAAACACAACTACAAAACTCACAAATCACTTGAAATTATTGTTTTGGTGTTTCAATCTTTTTATAATGCAAGCCATGAATTAAATTATACATTTTTAAGTCTTCTGCCATTTTCCCAGAGAGTGCTCATATCCTTGTCTAGACTCTAGTTAGCCTGTCAACCAGGGCTGCGTCTCACGAAACTGTCATCATAAGAACAAGTTCAGCGACATCCCATTAAAATGCGTGTATTAAGTTTAACACGCGTTTCAATGGGATGTTGTCGCTGAACTTGTACCATACTTATGACGATTTCGTGAGACGCAGCCCAGCATGACCAGTAATATTTATCATATCTAACTCCAACTCTAACTCTCACTTACTTAGACCTATAAATATCTAACGACCATTAACAACTTTTAAATCATGATTATTTGAACAATTGATGAAGATCATTTAGATCTAGACTAGATCTAGTATGTTTTAGTAGGGTATCTCCACGCCGTACGCCGGAGTTAGGGGTCAAAGTCTGGATATGATTCTGAACTAGCACCCAATGAATAAGACAACTGCAACAGCTATGCCTTGCATGCCCTCGTCCCAGGGGCCAGCCCCGGCCCCGCGGGCAGGGCCAGGGACGCGCGGTGCTGAGACCGAGTCTGAGGCTGAACCTCGAGCTCTAGCTCCCAAAATACCAAAGTTGGCAAGTGCCGCTGCGGCCCGAACGCGACGTGGCTACCGGGAACCAACACACAACACAACAATTTCACATTTCAAAATATTTGATGCATCATGTATTATATAGGACTAGGCCTACAAGATATAAAAGGAAATTACCTTGGTGCTGTCTTTGCCAATGGTAATTTTGTTGTTTATGTAGGACACGTATGATGGCAGAAATTACGGGATAGTAACTCATGGTTGGATACTGCGGAAGAACAAATTTATATGAATTAAGGATATTAATATATTTGTTTTTGTTCATTCATTCATTTTAAATTTGTAAATTAATTTTTAAAAATATAATTTGATTTGATGTTTTTTAAGGTAATTATTTAAAAAATAACATATAATTTTGAAATATTTAATAACATAATCATAAAAACGGCAACCCAATCTTCAGCTTTTAGGGATGCGTCTAATATAGTTGACAATTTTCATTTATTTTGATTATTCTAGTTACACAGTCTCTATGAGATCATTTGAAACTTGAATTCTAGATACTCATTCTAGTAACTATTAAAAGCTAATGAAACTATTCAAAATGATTTGGAAAAAATACCAAATTATCCCCAATTATAAATTTTATTCATATAAACGAATTTTAGTCTCCCAAGTCAAAACTTTTCTTCAACATTAAGGTTAGCGGTGCCTGTAATTTTAGACTATAAAGCTTACTCGATAAAAATGCCTCACCCCGCAAAAAAATCGCCACCATCACACCAACCCCTTCGCCCTCTACCTATCATCTCTCCCAACCATCACTTGATTTTACTTGATACGGCTCATTGCATGGTAATTTCGGTTGAAGATACATAATATACCATTCGTAGTAGGTCCATGAATATACACTATTTCAACTAGTTTCTCTCTTTCTCACTTGATCTCAGCTCCATTTCTCAACACCCTTTATCTTCCCCTCGTGATAATATTCACTTCTATCTACCCCCTTTTTTCCTCTTGTTCCTCCCCCTCTCCCCCCCCCCCCCCCTCTCTCTCTCTCTCTCTCTCTCTCTCTCTCTCTCTCTCCCATGCTCTCTCTCTCTCTCTCTCTCTCTCTCTCTCTCTTTCCCTCTCATCAGCTACCCCTATAATCTCTCCTATATCTCCTTCATTATCTATTTGATATCACTTGAGTAGGCCTGCATTAATAAAATGCTGATGCAATGTATAATTCTTTGTATTTTTCAGTTTGTTTATGTAACATTTCTTTTGTATATTCTATTTTTATCATTTCATTATTCTAAATATAAACTGACCCGTTTCAGCCTGGGCTGGTGGTCAGTTTAAGTCTTATAGACCAATAAATAGATCGGAGATAAATACTATGAATAAATTAGGCGAAAAGGGGTGGGGAGGGGAAGGGGCTTACCAGCCAATCTTCAATGAAAACAAATTCCCTTTCATTTTTCTTCATATACCGTATGCGGGAAGGAAGAAATTGAAACGAATGACATTATGTCCATCAGGCGCATACGCAGGGGGGTGTTTGGGGGGTTAAACCCCCCCTTTGGTATTTTTATGTGTGTAAACCACCCTAAAAAATCCCTAAAACCCCCCCCCCCCCCTTTGGATTTTTTTTTTTTTTTTTTTTTTTTTTTAATTATTTAAAAAAAAAAAAAATTAAAAAAAACGAGACCAAAAAAAAAAAAAGTGTTCTCTTCCCCCCCCCCCCCACTGAGCGACTTTTTGGCTGGCTGAGTCGTTGCGATTTTTTTTGGACTCCCCCCCCCCCCCCCCCCCAAAAAAAAAAAAGTGTCCGAATGGTTCGTTTTACAACTCACCAGAATCTGAATCGACTGGATAATATGTCATTTGTGATAATCGGACATTAGCACTCTTGAATAACTTGGAATTTGGATTCGCGTCCGATCGTGAGAAATATTTAATAATCATAATTCAATGTAAATCACCGGTATGTACTTCATTTTTTTTAAATAACGTTTCTTTACATTCGTCAATTACTGGTACTCACTGAAAAATTGTGAATAGATGAATGCAAGACAGATTTTTTTTAAAAATACATGTAACAATATCAGTTGGAAAATTATCTTACGAAGTGATGGATTTATTTATTTATTAGTTTACCTGATATTTAGACAGGGTGACTTGATCATTATCACCAATAATGGTGGTCTTCCCTTGAGGCCCCTGCTAAACATAACAGGAGCAATATGGATTTGGAAGGAGTGAACCCCCCCCCCCCCCCCCCCCCCCCGAAGCCAAGGTCCAGAATGCCACTAAATAAATTGGTTGCCAGAGTAGTCACAAATTTGAAACGATAGATTTAGCTGTAATAACAAAGGGCGAGTTGACTCAATACTATAATTAATTACACTCTATTTCTGTTGTTGTCAAAAAAACGGCTCTATAAATTTCCTGAACTAAGCTAGGTAAGTGACATTTTACGTTTACAGGACAGTCATTAGTGATAGAATTGTATGTGTTGTTGATCTAGCATTTAATATAAGAGCTTGTCGGGCTTATAAGAATATTTGTTAAACTGAAGTTATAGAAATATTCGTATAAAAATTGCTCCAAACACAATCGCTAGCTCAGCTTCAGCGACTGAGCTGAGTGCGTTGATTGTGAGCGCGATCCAGCAGCCCTTCGCTTCAGCCAGTGGCAGTGTGCTCCGCTCCGGCGGCGCGGGGAGACTCTGCTGGCCTGGCGAGCTTGAGCCTGAGGCTGAGGCCTTGCTTTAGCTAGCTTGGAGCTGCAATTGCTGCTGGGGAGTAAATGTCCCCAGTTGTCTGAAGAGCTCCGTTGCTTAGGATGCTTGGGACACTGGGGAATCTTGTAGATAAACGGGCAAGATTATAATAAATCTCTCGGAATAAGTAATTCTTTGAGGTGAGGTTTCGATGTTTCCTTTAGTCTCGGGCTTTATTTATAGGTCTAGTTTGTTTTTAAGCCTAAATAAAACATGGTTAATCTAGATGTACATGATCAAGACGTATATTTGCATGATTTCTCTATCGTCTTTATGATTCATAGACAAGGCTAACAGATTACATAAACCATGGCTCGTACCAAGCAGACAGCTCGAAAGTCTACTGGAGGGAAAGCCCCTCGTAAGCAGCTTGCTACCAAGGCAGCCCGTAAGAGTGCCCCCTCTACAGGTGGAGTCAAGAAACCTCATCGTTACAGGCCAGGTAATATTAACACCACCCTACATAGACCGAATTTTCCGTCTCTTTCGTTCGTTAGCCTCTTATTGGGGTAGGGTCGGCCGGCTCTCTCTTTAGAGACGGAAGCCGTTTATACACATGTCCTTGCTAACGCCACGGCCAGTCCTGGTCGTAGCGTTTTGCCCCCAAAATCCCCCAAAATGTCATTTTACCTCGAGCATGTTATATTGTAAATTAGGCCTAGGCTATAATAAATCAGTTCCACTTACCAACTTGACTGAAATAATCAGTTTAATAGTCCCTTTTTAGGAAATTATGGGTCAAAATCGAAATCCATTTTGAAAATCTTTTTCAACATGGATTCCGATTTTGACCCATAATTTCCTAAAAAGGGACTATTAAACTGATTATTTCAGTCAAGTTGGTAAGTGGAACTGATTTATTATAGCCTAGGCCTAATTTACAATATAACATGCTCGAGGTAAAATGACATTTTGGGGGATTTGGGGGGCAAAACGCTACGACCAGGACTGGCCGTGGCGTTAGCAAGGACATGTGTATAAACGGCTTCCGTCTCTAAAGAGAGAGCCGGCCGACCCTACCCCAATAAGAGGCTAACGAACGAAAGAGACAGAAAATTCGGTCTACACCCTACAATGCTAGTTATCCAACTAAAAAAAATTTGAATCAACAGGAAAAGAAACAAAAATGTAATCACAGTTAAAACATAAATACACTTCATTGCTAATGCTATCAAGAGTATTACCCATAATTACTAACTACAAATGTTCAAATGTCCCCACTTTAACATGGAATTAATTTTTACCATTGAATTTTGACTTCAAAGCCTGTTTCTGAAATGATTGTTTATTGTACCAATTTTTTTCAGGGACATACAAAATTTGCTGTTTTAAGTGTTACAGGTTATGTTGAACATATTTTTTTTTTATAGAAAAGAAGTAATGGAGGGGTTTAATCAACATTAGCACTGAGAGGAGGGATAATGCATAAAAAGGTTTATCATTTTGAATTGTTTGATTACACGATCATGTTGCAGGTACTGTTGCCCTTCGAGAGATCCGTCGCTACCAGAAGAGTACTGAGCTGCTCATCCGCAAGCTGCCATTCCAGCGTCTGGTCCGTGAGATTGCTCAGGATTTCAAGACTGAGTTGAGGTTTCAAAGTGCTGCTATTGGTGCTCTGCAGGTACGTAAAGGGGTTCTTGCTCGAGCATTTATTGGTTCAGGAAAAATGGAATACTGAGGGCAAATTAAATACACCAATAAGCACTTGAACCTACATATTTGGTTTGTTAATCATAAATCTCCCTCTGCAAGGCCTCCTTTTTCCTCAGTATGGACCAAGGGGTAAACAAATTCCTGTTTAGAATAAGGGAATGAACAGACGTGTTAACAGAATTTTATAACTCTAATAATGTTAAGAAGTAATATTGTAAGAGATTGGATATTGCACAGTTTTCCTTTTCTTACAATAGGTAGGCTAGGCAAGTAATTTAGAAAGAAGATAACATATTTTAACCTGCTAAGTAATTTAAGTTTCTGTAATGTAAATGAATCCCTTCTCTGCTTCTGTGATCATGTTTTAAAAAATGCCTCATACATGGCTTATGCATTTTATAAATCTCTTTGGCAAGTTTTTACCTTTCAGAGTTATCAGCTTAAAGTATTGACTGTTATTGCTCTTTTTATAGATTCAACAAAGAGTTTTTTATGCCTCCGCCACCGAAGGTGGTGCCGGAGGCATCATGTTTTCGGGTTGTCCGTCCGTACGTCCGTCCGTCCGTACGTCCGTCCGTCCGTCCGTCCGTCCGTACGTCCGTCCCGTTTGACCGTTATCACAATATCTCAAGAACCATTTAAGATTTAAACTTAAGACTCGGGAATAGTATTTATCACCATAGGAAGACGATCTGATTAGATTTTGGAGTACGTAGGTCAAAGGTCACAGGTCACAGAGGTCAACTTATGAAATTCCTTGTATTGAGTTTGTTAGCGCGATATCTCAAGAACCATTTGAGATTTAAACTTCAAACTTAAGGATAGTATGTATCACCATAGGAAGACGATCTGATTAGATTTTGGAGCACGTATGTCAAAGGTCAAGGGTCACAGAGGTCAACTTATGAAATTCCATACATTGAGATTGTTATCATGATATCTCAAGAACCACTGGAGATTTAAACTTCAAACTTAGTGATAGTGTGTATCACTATAGGAAAACAATCTGATTAGATTTTGGAGCACGTATGTCAAAGGTCAAGGGTCACAGAGGTCAACTTATGAAATTCCATACATTGAGATTGTTATCATGATATCTCAAGAACCACTGGAGATTTAAACTTCAAACTTAGTGATAGTGTGTATCACTATAGGAAAACAATCTGATTAGATTTTGGAGCACGTAGGTCAAAGGTCAAGGGTCACAGAGGTCAACTTATGAAATTCCATACATTGAGATTGTTATCATGATATCTCAAGAACCACTGGAGATGTAAAAACTTCAAACTTAATGATAGTGTGTATCACCATAGGAAGACAATCTGATTAGATTTTGGAGCACGTAGGTCAAAGGTCAAAGGCCACAGCGCACATTATGAATGCAAAAACAGCTTGTGATCGCGTTATCTCAAGAACCGATTGATGGATTCATGCCAAAATTAGGTCATGTTTGTTACTTGCAGAGCCAATGAACTGAGTAGATTCTTGGTTCATAAGGTCAAAGGTCAAAGGTCATGGGCCCATTATGTATGCAAAAATAGCTTGTGAACGCATTTTCATTAGAACTGACAGATGGATTACTATTTAACTCAGAACATCTTGCAGAGCCAATGAACTGAGTAGATTTTATGGTCATGAGGTCAAAGATCAAAGGGTCATATATGTATATGAGAAATTGCTTGTAATCACAATATTCTGAGAACCTGTCAATGGATTACCATTGAACGTGAATTCAATTTTTTTTTTCTGTTTTGGTTTGTAAAATTGCTCTATAACGGAGGCATCATTTTCGACTGCGCGCAGTCGAATTCCATCTAGTTTTCTGTATTATCTACCAAATAATTTTTATTTAATTTGTCATAAATTGCTGTTTAGAATGAGAGAGGAGGGAAGGATAAATATACTATTCACTTTGTATCCACTTTCTCTTACGAATGCTCTAAGAATCATCCTAATTAATGGAAATGTGATATCGCTCTTTGAAATTGACTATATATGTAGGTATATGGTTGGAATGTAGAAAGAGAAAGTTTGGACATTTGCTTGCATTATGCTGTTCCTCTGAAAATCAGTTTCATTGCTTTGTTCCAGACCACACTTTAGCAAAATTATGTTGAAAAATTAGTTTTCATTATAAATTTTCAACATAAATCATGTCTATCTGAAATACCGCTTGAAGAGCAGAGTTTTTTTGTCTAATAATTTGTTAAAAATAAAAATAAAAGAGAAATTGCTCTTATTGTGAATATTATTCATTCACACCTTCAGTGCAGCAATTATAAACAATAAAGCTTTGTTTTTCTCTTGATCTCTCTGTTTATAGGAGGCGAGCGAAGCTTACCTAGTTGGTCTCTTTGAGGACACCAACCTGTGCGCCATCCATGCCAAGCGTGTCACCATCATGCCCAAGGACATCCAGCTGGCTCGTCGCATCCGTGGAGAACGTGCTTAGACGCAACCTCCATCATCAATCTTGCTGTCATTCTTCAAAATCATTGTTTGCACTTTAAATTTCTTCATCTTCACCTTGTTTGCACTTGTTGACTTTTTTTAGAAAACATTCTTTCCTGGCAATATTTTAGATTGGATATGGTTATTATGATTGGTCAAAGGAGATTTTTACCATCCACTGAGTTTTTGGTATAGCATTTATATACACACAAACACACATGTTCCCAAAAATGAGTAGGAAATATGCAATTTCATCCTTTTAATATTTAGCGAGTATTTTTACCTTTCTCTCTGTATGTCTAAAAATGACCATACACTTTTATTAAAAAATGGGAAATAAACTCCAAATTTTCAGAGCCAGACGATCTATATGTCTATATGTCATAGTTATCAAATGGAGATGAAAACAGCTAATTGGAGTGCTCAAAATTACTGGCAGACTGGGAATTCAATGTGAATAGATTTTTATTACAGGATACTTACATGGCCCAATCACCACAAAATGAAATACAGTATCTTTGTTGTAATGAAGATTTTGAGACACCACCATATTTATCCATAATGTGAATTTCCATACAATATCACTGTTCTAATAACAGGAAAAGGCAAGGAAAATTATATGTCAGGAAGGATTGAATGTATTGTACATAAGTTATCTTTCAAGTTTTAGAATAGTATTCTTGTGAATCCGTTTGACTGTTTATCCTAGATCAGATCGTAACATAGTAGACAGTGTATTACATGTGTTATCAAAAAAGAATGTAAATTAACAGAATGATGGGTGCTGTGATAAAATACAACATTTCTTTTATAAGCTGAAGCCATGAGATTTTGTTTGAAATTTAACGTCTTTGTTGAGGCTTTTTTTTTACATTGTTGTTTTGTTTATATACTCCGAGTATGCTATTGGTGCTCGTTCATTACATGAGTAGAGTTTATTTAACACCATCGATATCCAATAAGTTTAATATGCTTCTCATTTATTCATGACAGGATTGGTTATTCAAGTAACTGTTGCATAAATACATGTACATGTAGTCGCAATCCTTAATATTAATAATTATACCTGAATCCATGTTTTATGTTATATCATTCAAGGTAGTGATTAATTTTACAAACCTCCAACAAAAAATTAGTAAGGGCATACTGTCTTGATAATGATCATCTTGTTTGTAAAACCAAACGTTTAATTAGTTTCCAAGGAGATACATATTTTTTTGCATTCTGATGTAATTCAGCGAGGACACTTGACATTCTATTAAAAAAAAGTTGAGAGAGGAAAACTCTGTCCCAGATTTTTAAACTTTTGATTTGCTCTTGCCCCTAACATTTGCCATGGAGATACATGTACATGTATCATGTGTTTTAGTAATTCATGTCATATCAGTTTTTTTTTTTTTTAATTTTAAGTATTATTCATTGTGTGGGCTGCTAGTGGGTGAATAGTTAATTGTTTGTAAGCTTTTACTAATGTATTGTATGTAAGATCCCTTGGTACTTCATGTAAAACTGATTCCAGATGAAATGCACTCACAAAGGACCAAAGGATTCTGATTTTAAAGTTTGTACCATTCCTATATATGCAAGTTTGGTCAAGTCATATTCAGTATTTTCTTAATGTGTGTTTATTGGTTTAGGGGTGAAACACTATCCACTTCACTCTCAGGACTACCTCTGCTAACTTCTCTGCTGCATTACAATAATAACATTATATCTAGAAAGTATAGTCTTTCAAACATTTCACACATATCATCCACAAGTATGTTTCAACATAATGTGCTAAACCACAATACAAACAAAAGATTTTCATTCAAACTGTAAGATATGAATAACCTGTTAATCAGCTGGCCTATCAATCTTTATGTACAAGTAGTGCTTTTGTGGTAGTTTTACAATAAATTAAAAAACGTTGTGAATATTTTGTATCTTCTGAACTTATTTTATTCTGTTGATTTCCTTTTATCTATGTGCTGCATAGGGAATGTTCTACTTTTTTTTTTTGGTGGGGGGGGGGGGATAAAAACTACATTTCTTAATGTATTTTGGTTGCCCATTTCTTTGACGATGATTGTTTATTATACAAATGATGCATACATGCATTTGCATACAACAAAACTCCTAGATCATTGTTATTTGATGTAAAAAGATTTCATCAAGATTGTTTTGCGACAGTATGGCTGACAAATAAATCTCAAGTTTAATACCGTAGGCTTAATTTAGTGCACACACATAAATAAGCCAGAATAGGCCTACATGCAGTATAAGCGCCCAAACCTCTACATGCACTACTGCGCATCATGTACACTCACTAAAAAAAAAGTGTGCAATAGTACTGCAAACTATTGTACTTTTTCATGATAAAACATGCAATAGTCTCAGTAAATGAATCACATGTGATTGGGCATGACCAATCATTTGATTAGGATCTAGGAGTGAGTTGTACAAAATGAAATAATCAATGTGTCTCAGACATAGAACAATATAGAGAAAAGGAAAGAGAGTAATATTTGGGACAAATAGAAAATAGATAACCTAGACTTGTAGGGTGTGGGGGGAGGGGGGGGGGAGAGAAAGGGAGAGAGTTGGGTGGAGGGAGCTGGACAGAAGGGATGCTACACACATCAGTCGCAAGATGGCGCAAGACCAGAATGAAAGTGGGTCGTTGGATAAACGGTACCAGCACTAGAGCGAGAACCGGTACTACGGTACACGCGCATATTACGTTGAGTATACGCATATCGTATGCGCTATGCATACACAATATATCTAGGCATTGATTGCTAGAGGAACCTCAACTAAGGCAAAACGAAGTCTCAACTATCATGTCGAATTATAACCGTCAGGGGGATTTCACAATTACAAAATCTTCTAAAGGAGGCGGTAGAAATTACTACGGTAAATATAAGAGTTCTTTAGAGTAGGTTTAGTCGGGGAAAGAGCTTTTTAATGAGAATAATGGGTCATCGGCACACACAAAACGGTGTCGCCCATTGACGTTTTCATGATTGTCACTGCACTGTAACCTTTCGTTGATGATGACCATTGCTAGTAGTAGACGAATAATAGATGGATTGTAGATCTAACAAGTTAGAAGAACATGGTGAATTAATTTGTGAATGTGAATGAGTAACCTTTTAGGGTCTAATTAAAAATAGACAGTAGGGGCTCTGGTCCGAGAATAATGAGAATCAAGGACCGTCTTCGTTAACGTGGACGGACATGTCCTCATATAAATAAGGATCGTCCGCAAAGATGAGGATATCCTCGTAAACGTGGACAAATCATGTCCTAAAAATAAGGATCATCAACGCGTGGATCAGAAAAATAATTGTCTGCAAAAAATGCGGACGATCCTTATTTATGAGGACGCGTCTGTCCACCTTGACGAAGACGGTCCTCGATCCTCCTTATTCTCGGACCAGCAGACATATTTTTCCAATTCTTTTGAGTATTAGACCCTCTGGCACATTTTGCATGAACTTTGAACATATCACTATCAGTATCAGGCCTGCATTTGAATTTGACTAAATTTCTGAGGGCTCTAGAGTCTACCTTACTTTTTGTTAATGAAAGTTTCAGATTTCATAAGACAATGTTAAATGCGTCATAGTTTGAATGTAATTTTGATCTATCTGTCTTTTTTTATTCCGTCATCTTACATGGAAACATGCAGAACATGATGATCGCTCTCGAGAAGTACCAAGTGGGAACTGGCGAGGAGGAAGAGGAGGAGGAGGAGGAGGACGAGGAGGAGGAAGAGGTGGTGGTGGAAGTAGAGGAAGAGGAAACAGAGTTGATTGGGATCAACCGGATTCAAATGATAACTTCAGAGGACAAGGTCGCAATGACAACTATGACAGATACAGTGACAGAGATGGTGGTTATAGAGGAAGGGGAAGGGGTAGGGGTGGTGGGGAAGGGAGTGGTAACAGTGGAGGAGGAGGAGGAGGGGGAGGAGGATCTGGAGGGAAATGGAGAGGAAATCGTGGAGGTGGTAGAAGAGATAAAAGGAGAGGAGGAGGTCGTCGTGGCGGTGGCAGTGGAGGTAGCAGTAGAGGTGGAGGAGGAGGAATGAATGATAGAGATTCAGAACAGGTCAACCCAAGGTCAAGATTAGAAGATGATGATGTGTCGATGGAAGATGGAGATAATTCAAAGGCAAATTCAAGATTGTAAGTTTAATCCTAAAGAGGGAAGTCTCTTGTTCATGTCTTAAAGGAAACCAAAACCTTCATACTAAGTTACTTTTATTGTAAAGTTTAAGATATTTGAAAAATATCAGTGACAATTTGAACAAAATCCGGCAAGGAATAAGGAAGTAAGAGCTTTTTGAAATGACTAGTCACTAGAGGGCGGTATTCAATTTGATGACATCATCTGTGAACAAATCTCCATGCCTTTTGTACATCAAATTTCATGTTTTTCCTTCTTTCTTGTGATTGAGATAATGTACTCTCCCGAGAGCAAGATATAGAATGCAAAATGATATTCTACTTCACATGTTATGAAGTCGGATCAAGAACAAAAATAAATACAAAGAAAACCAAAAAAATGTGAAATTTTATGTACAAAAGGCATGGAGAGTTGTTCACAGATGATGTCATCAAATTGAATACTGCCCTCTAGTGACTAGTCATTTCAAAAAGCTCTTACTTCCTTATTCCTTGCCCGATTTTGTTCAAATTTTCACTGATTTTATTCAAATCTTTTAAACTTTACAATAAAAGTAACTTAGTATGAAGGTTTTGGTTTCCTTTAAATGTTATTATTTATTGATTCGCATGGACAAGATGTTATATTTGTCATACTCGTTCCATAAGCCAGGGCATGATACTCGACATGGACCTTCCAAATACACTCTGGACTTCCCTAATTACTACGTGAATAGGAGTCCCATTGCACATGAACCCATAAATTGCAATCTAGACCGTGGTTTAAGGTATAGTGTGGAGCCATAAAATTGTTAGCGTTTTTTTTTTTTCTTTTTTTTTTCCTTCCATTATTTCACTTGATATTTTACTATAGCTTATTATTGTTGTAGTATAGTTAGTAGTGTTAAACTGACAATTTAGTGTGAGTTGTCTGTAAAGTGTGAGCATCTTTGGGAGAGAAAGTTATTAGTCACTATACATGTATGTATTACTTTTAACTGTAAACTGATAGGATTAATACACATACATGTATATTGGTAATATCATTGACAGGAATCCAAAGGCCTCTTGTAAGTGTTTTGTCTTGTCTTGTTTTCTTGCTTTCGATTTACTTGTAGTAAATTAATTCCCATTATTGCTTTAAAAAATAATATATTTCTCTGAAAGTCTGAATAAATATCCAAGTAAAACATGATTAATTATCTGCCTAGTTGTGAAAAGTTCAATAATTATTCTGTTAGCAAGAAAAAAAAAATTGGATTCTTAATTATGATTTGATCTCCTTCAGCAATCCTTATGGAAACCGGAAATCTGGGCACAACCAAAGGAGACAACAGAACAATGATCGGAGAGGAGGTTCAGCGCAGAGCTCTATGTCAAGACTAGGTCTACCCTTCAAGGATGGCTCAAGGCATAGTGGAAGGGAAGATGAAACATGGTGCAAGATCATTGTGAGTATGATTGTCATGCTGTTTTATTGGTGGCATGGGGGACCTTATCTTATAAAGACTTATGGTTGACATGCATGAATCTTATGTTTTTCGGTCAGTTGCGGACTTACAATCTCATGTAATCTCATGTTTCGTCTCTCTGGAGTTGCAATTAATATTGATTGGAAGTTAAAGGCATCGTTTAACAATGTTAAATCTGAGATGCATGGCCCTACATATTATCAGTGTCTGTGATATGGTGTTATATTGAAGCCCTATTGCGCTTCAAAGTGATCAAGAAGTGCCTCAAAAAAGTAAAAACCTTTGAGTGAACCAGTTTTCCATACTCGTTTTCCCCAATAGACTGTACAGTTACGAAAACCTGTTTGGCAAACGCAAAATCTAATTTCGATTTTCAATCATAAATGTCTTGATAATCAGACGGGCGATCGGCTTGTAAAGGTCATGGAGTTCCTGACTATCCTTAAGGTTTATAATTATCATTGCAGCATGAGGATTTTTTTAAGGATCTAAGACAAAGTTACCGGATCCCTTTAAGTTGTGATTGATTCCAACGAATCATACAGTGTACATGTATGTCTACAATTGTAGCAACAATTTAGAAAATTTAATTAAGTAGCACACAATAAAACAGAAGCTTTTAAACGTCAAGCTTTTCTAAGCATTATTTATAGTAATAGCTATAAAAAGTTAAAGATAAACTTTAGTACTGGTAATGCGATTGCATTGTGAAAGAAAAGGTGTGGAAAGGATCAGAAACAGTTGATCATGTAGCATGTAAGTATTGGTGTGCACTGCAAGGTTCTGGAGTCATCAAAATCATAATAAATTTGACCGAGTCTTGGTAAAGTAACAAGCACTCACATAGAAAGCTATATATGGGACAACACACATGGTGTCGGGGCTAGTACTACCTTGATTTCCTTGTCTTTCTATGCTCATTACTCAGCCAGTATACATTTTCTTATAATAAAAAAATAATAATATTTAATTTTTATATAGCGCTTAATACAAATGTCTCTAAGCGCTTTACAAATATATTATTACCCCGGTCATTGGATTCAGTGCTTACCCGCACACAATGTGTGCACAATCTCCACTCCCTGGGGAGCATTCCAGCCAGTCGCCATTTTACAAGCGCCACTTGCTAATCAAACCACATTAGCTTTCGCATCCTACCGGGTACCCATTTAACACCTGGGTGGAGAGTGGCAAATGTAGATCAATGTCTTGCCAAAGGACATTAGTGCCGCGGTGGGACTTGAACCGCGAACCTTGTGATCCACAGTCCGATGACATATCCACTCGTCCACGACACCTCTACTTCCAAAATTGTTTGGCACATGTCATTTATTTGTAATCTTGAACATTCAGTGTAAGTTTCGTTTGATTCTGTGAGAATTATTTTTTTTTTTTTACCAGTACTGGAGTTTATCTTTAAGATTTCTGCGGTCTAAAGTGTATCAAAGAATGTATAAAAGAAATCTTTAAAAAACATTCTTTCATACTCTATGGGCTAATGGAGTAGTATGAGGAAATAAAGAATACCATGAAACCACACACATGGAACCTAAGTCTAACTTGGCTTCCCTTCAGGTGTCTTATTATGTGGGAGTGCAAGTATTCTACTAACAAGTTTTGTTTTTTTTTAGTAGAAAGTTGCAATATATCTTTGAAGCTCCAATTCTTAATAAAGACACTGCACCCATAACAAGCAGAACAAGCAGAACAAAATGTTTTTGGTGTGATTTTTACACTTTATCTAAATCATCCTTGTCTTTCTTCTTGTCTTTCTTCTTTTATCAGATTCCATATGGGAAGAAAAGTGAGAAGGAATGGCTCATCAAAACTATCCAAGGTGCCTGTAAAGAACCTTTTATACCACAAGAGGTAATGTCAATCAACAATCATGAATATAATGAAGAAATATAACATATGATAGCCTTTCATGTTTCACTCATTTTCTTTTCCTTCATCATCATTTATTAAAGTCAACATTTTCCCTTTTCTACAAGAGGTTACTGACTTTCATGCCACAATGACACTCCCACCCTCCACTTCTTCCCTCCAACTTTCTTGTCTCGAGCATCCTACTCATTTATACTAACCTTACTGCTTTCTAATCATTGTCATAACAACGTACTTGTATCGTAATTAATTTGCACATGAAGAAAATTAAACAATCATAAGTAGTAGACAAATGTTAGAGAATAACCTTACTACCATAATGTAAAAGTAAATTCTACTCACACAGTATATCTGTCTGCATTGATACACACTGACTGTATTTGTGTTCTTTTTATATACAACAAAGATGTATTATATTATTTAAAACTTTATTTTATCTCTATTTTATTTGCCTTTGCAGTTTTCATATGACAATCAGACTGCTATATTCTATGTGGATGATTTAGCAGCTGGTGATGCATTGAAAGATGTTAGCAGTAGAATAACAACACCAAGCGGACACAAGGTAATCTATAGAACAAGATGTGTCTGTAATTTGTTCTCCATGTGTGTTTGTCGCTCTCTCTCTCTTTGTTTCTGCCTGTCCATCTCTTTCTCTCTCTCTCTCTCCCCGTCTCTGTCTGTCTGTCTGTCTGTCTCTCTCTCTCTTTCGATCTCAAGTTTGATTTGTGATAACTGGCTAGCAACACATGGATCAAAGTTGAATTCAATCTATTTGTATTTGAGTTGAGTTTTGCAAAGGAGAAGGAAGAAAGTCTATAGATATATATAATTTTTGTTTCTCGTTGGAAGAAATGTTTGTGTTGTAAGCACTCAAGTCATTTTACATTTTTCAAACGATGAAAGAAGGAACAAAACTGAAAGTGAAACTATTTCCATTTTGTAATTTCCTGTGTACTTTATTACAGATCATAATTCAGAGTCGGCCGTGCAGACCGCCCGTGAAAACTGTCTTTAATGATAAAGATCTAGGACTGCTTAAACAAGTGATGAGCAGACGCTACGACCCCTCCGCCAAGTCCCTAGATCTCGGAAACCTGACAAATGATGCTGGTTAGTAATGATGGTAGTAAAGCCCCATTCAGACATGATGCAATAAACCGCTTTTAAAAATAATAACCATTTTAAGTGTATATAAAGGGCAAGGGGTAACAAAAATAAAGAAAATTGTGCACAACAAGGCTCTTGTGTGGATACTGTGATCTATATTTTATGATATGCAGATGTGCTACGCACATTATGCCTGTATCAATCAATTTTCCTGCGGCTGATTTTGAGGCGGTTTAAAAATGCCATGTCTGAACAAAGCTTGAGAGTGGAAATCACATATCCAAGTCATTAGTATGTTTATACCACTAGTCCACTATAAATGTTAAATTTTGTTTGAGGTTTGTTTTCTTGTTTCTTGTAAATGTATGTGTTTTGGTTGTTCAGTTTTGTATGGGAATATATAAATTTATATTGAGAGTCACAGCTTCACAGGCTTTGCATTTGAATGGTCTAGGATTCCATTTGTTATCAACAAGAAGATGTAATATAAAAATACACTCTAATCTTGGGACTAAATCCTCTTTTCAAATTCTTTGTATGAAGGCAATGAATTCATGTTTGGATGATTAATCTAATGTAATGGAGAAGAGAGGAGATATGTTAGTCCATTACAGCATTCAACGCTTTATAATTTCTTTGTTCAATGCCTTGCGACTTATGTTTGGAAGATGAATGTACTTAATCATGGTCCTCTCTCATTCACATGTATTATATGATTTCTTGCAGATTTGAAAGGAAAGCTGTACATGATTGTAGAAAGACCTGCCCACTTTGCTGCAATCCTCAAAATAATCACTGAAAACATTCCAGAGGTAAACTTAATAAAGACATATCTTCAGGCCTGATAATTACTCAATTTAAATTGGTTTCCCTATTTTTTTTTTTTTTTCCAGATTAAATTTGTTTTCCCCCAAATTTTATCCACATTTTCCTGATTCTTCCCTTATTTTCTCTATTCTTCCCTATTTTCCCCTATTTTGTCCCAATTTTCTTACTCAAAGAGGGGGGGGGGGATGTTGTTAGATGCCATTCCCCTCCGAATACTCTTCTTTTTTTAGTGCTCACTATCACCCCTGTATCTTGTCTGTGTTTCTGTTGGTATATTTACTTTGCTGTTTCAATGCTTCTTATGCGTACTTGAAGTAGTAGGATTTCTGGGTATCAGTTATAAGAACATATCTAATGACTTATGGATAGAAATCTTTTGTTTGATTTCTTTCCCTGAAGATCAGGAAAGTAAGTTTTTATTTAAAGGTGATGTTTCTCCCCTTACAAAAGTGATATCATAGTGCCCTGTTTATGCTCTGTAGCATTAGGTTGTTTGACCAAAAAAACAACTTGGCAATAGGTGACAAGAAATGGTAGAATGGCTGCAATAAGGATAATAATAATTATGATAGTGGAGTCCTGTATAGCACTCATGTCTGGCACATTGTCACTCCTGGCACTCCATTATTATAACCCTGGCTTTAGCACAGCTGCCATCACAGCGCTCAAGCACATAAAGGAATTAATTCCTGCTCGGTACCCATTTACATCAACTGGGTTGACTGTGGCAATTGTGGATTAATGTCTTACCAAAGGACATTAGTGCTACTACAGGGATTTGAACCCGTACCATGTGGTTCACAGTCTGGCGACTTATCCACCGGACCACAACACCTCTATGCACTAACAATAATGCACTATTTCAAGTCTCAACATTTCTAACTTACTCTTATCAGTTTAGCCACTAGGAGTAAATTGACATTAGATGGATGTAGGTTATGTTGACGGTAGATTCCATGATAATACCTTTTAAAGAGTTCATATTATTGAAAGAAGGAACATATTTCTATTTTCTAGATGACAACGCTTCAACTTGATGCCAACAAACTGTACAACCTGAAGAGCATGTCGGATTTACCGCTAAAGATGCCCAACATCACAACACTCAGTCTAGCACGTAACAATGTAAGTGAACATCGTATGAAGAGAAAGTTTATATTGAGAGAGCAAAGGGAACATTTATCTTGGAGTGAATGTCAAGAATTGGTTATTATGAAAACAAATTTATGTGCTCTTTGCTGATGAATTTTGGAATATCTTATTCTTGATCATGGCATGTATTGATATAGCAATTCGGCAGGACAAAATGTAGGAGACGTTTCTTATACTCATATAAGAGTAAACGAGGGCACAGAAGAGAGGAGAGACAGAAAGAACCAGGGAAAATGAAAACATTGAAAGTGAAAGACGCATAGAGAATGGAAGAGTTATAACTGTATGTATGCCTATAATGGAAGTGTTCGGTTGTTTTCTCTGTAGCTGAGATCTGAAGCAGAGCTGAACAACTTAAAGGGACTCAAGTTGAGGGAACTGACACTCGATGGTAACCCTCTCTGTGATAACTTCAGGGAACAGTCAACGTACATCAGGTATGGCTGAACGATTCCAGAGGGTCCAAGCTGGAGGTTTGTTCCAGGAGGATAGCATCTTGTTACCAAGCAACAAGATGGCATCTGGTCCTGATGTGCATTGATGGTGGTGTCAAGAGGGTTGCCTGATGAGGCAAGACCCAGGCACCAAGCCAGGGCTTGGGGGCTAAAGAGATGGAGCATAATAATGAAAGAAAAGGATGATTATGTTTATGGTATATTAGTTTTGAGCCCCTTTTACTTTTGTAGCGCTGTTGATACAAAACTCTTGGATTTCTGTAATCCTTGATATATTTGTCCGCTCTAGTAAACCAAATACTGGCACGTCTTGTCAATTCTACAGTACGTACACTGCTTGCTTTGAGTTGTCGAGAAAATATAGCGCTTGCATGCTGTCATCAGTGTGATAGTGTTCAATTCTTGTGTTTCTCTAAATATGCTGAAAAATATTGCTGACTTCTACTAGACCTCAATCTTGCTATTCATTTTCACCCCTTCGTATAGAGATTTAAACAAATTGAATCATTTGATACTGCCAATTATCTCTACATTACCTCCACTAAAACTCAACTTTCCATTGAAAAAGCTAACGCTTTGATGAATTTTTGTTTGAATTATATGTGTAGCTTCTTTTTCCTCAATTTTTTAGAATGATTAAAATAATTTTGAGAGGCAGAGAATTTAGATATTTTCATAATTTGTTGAAGAACACCCAAAGTTTCAAGATTTGAAGAAGTTAAGATCGTAATTGTAAAACATAAAAATCATATACAAGATGAAAAATCCCTTTAAAACTGGTTGCGGGTTGATTTTGGAAAGACATTTTTTTTTCTCCAAAAAATAATAAGACCATTCCATTTTGTGGCATGTGTAGTGCGGTGTCTCATTCTTCTTGTCGTTATCCTATCTCTTTCTTCTTTCCAAATCCTTTGTAATTTTTTTTTTGAGAATGGAGTGAACACTTTCAAACACCAGTTCATGAAAAAATCCTAATTTGAAAAAAGAAAATTGACTAGGAACATACTGGCCACTTAGTATGCATTGCCAAACATATGCTCATAGTCCTTGAATTCATGATCTTTGCCGAATGAGAGTCGGTCGTCATTGTTCAGAGAGACATTATGTCTCCTGTCAAGATACAGAAAAAGAAGACACAATTCAGCTAAAATAAGTTGAATGAATGGAAAGAGAAATAGCCAGCGCTTTCAGTCATAACCACATCCAATGGGTTGGTTACCCATCTATGCAATGGATGCCTTTCTCCATTTACTCTTGTACAAGTTGACACAACTTTGCTGACAAATCAGCCAGTTCAACAATTGGGAAAATGAGTGTGAAGTAAATACATCCAAAGCCACTCCACCAGTATCTTCAAGATCCTTGAAATGCACAGAAGGGCCTCACTATAAGCTCCTGGAGAGAACAACAGATTAAGACGTGACCATCCTTGGTCCTGTGACAGTGGTCACTGCAGGTCCTGACGGTTTAGAGTGTCCATGACGGGTAAGATCCTCAGTGCAAGAGGGCAACCTAAGACAGACGCTCAAACGGGGACCTGCCTGCCAGCAGTACACACACCTCTTCTAGTTATTACAGGAGTACCTCGATCATATCATGGCCTGCCTTGGATGAACACAACATCCCACCTCCAACACCGTACTTGCAATATGAGAATTGCCTACAGCGTAAAGAATACAGACCTACTGGTTTGATGAGCCCAAAATGGTTCTGATTATTCTTGACATATGATATTCAGACATATGAAGCTTCATATGGAGTGCATCTTTGGCATTGTTCTACTAAGTGTGCTTTTTATTCCAAAGAGAAAGATATGAAATAGTACCCACAACATTATTTTGATTAATTTCAATTTTACTGGTATTTATTGTGTTCACCTCATTGACACCTGCTATGCGTTTATGTCTGCTTTCCTCACCCCTTTCCTATCTATTCTATTCACCTCTGTTAGTTTCTGTGTGTTTCCATTGTATCTTAAGTGTAAATGGGATGGTTGTCATAGTGTAGGATCAAACATTAAATCTGTTAGGCATTCAAAAGGGCTAGTATGAGTAAAGCTAAATTACGTATTAACACTGAACATAAGAATTAGACAGGCAATTAAAATTAAGTATAAAATCTTAGTGACAGAAGATTTTGTTATCCAGAAAATTTTGGTGAGTATGGGAGAGAGTTTTTTTTTTTTGATGTTGAGAGTTTTTGGTCCCTAGATGTCTACCATCAGTCAGCACTGTTTATGTGGTTTTGGAAGAGATTTTTTTTTTTGATGTTGAGAGTTTTTGGTCCCTAGATGTCTACCATCAGTCAGCACTGTTTATGTGGTTTTGCTTTCAAGTTTATGAGTCAATATACAGAGTCCTCATGACTGTAGTTTTGTGGAGACAGATTTGAGGAAGTTTTAGAATACTTTTTGAAGAAAATTAATTCAGAATCTTGACTTGTGAACATCACACTGTTTGATATCATTCTGCATCTTTCTAAAGGTTTCTGATACTGGTTCATCGTGTCACTCAGTCACCATGCTGGACTGTTTTGTCCTGATCATACCGTTACATGTCTACAAATATTGATCATATCCCCTTCTTTCAGTCTGCCAGTTATGTGATATATTATAACAGTGGGATTTTCAGCTTCATGTATTTATTCTGCCTTCGCCTCATAAGATCTATTCACTATTTGAATATCACAATACGTGTGAAAGGCTCTTTATAAACAAAGGTCCGGGGGTATTTCCCTAATTCATTCAAGTATCCCCCCCCCCCCATCCCAGTTTTCAGAAACATGCCTACGACTGCCTTTGTTGTTTGGTAATATTATTCAAATGACTTATATTTGCACAAGGTACATGTAGTATGGAATATCACCTTGTAGGTAAATCACTGGTTTGAGAAGCTGATCCCTAATGTGCTTCTTTTTCAGCGCTATTCGGTCGAGATTCCCTAAGGTTGAGATCTTGGTGAGTAGAGCATTACCTTCAATACAGCTTGTTTAGTTTTGCACGATTCACTGAAGCAAGTAAAAAATCTTGCATATATTTTTGTTGACCTCTAGGATTAATAGTGGTGAAATCCATAGGGAAATAGAGGCTTGCAAACTCATTAAAGCTTCTTGAATGACTGGATATTGATGTACTAAGTTGAAATAAGGCAAATCAAAGCAAGATAAATAATTTCTGTTTTAGGTCAACACATATGGAGCTTACCAAATGAAACTACATGAATATTGTGAATTATAATCCAATCTTACAATCATAGACCAGGGGTTTAGACATGATTATGTTATAAAATGGTGATATGTATGTGTTTTTTTCTGCCAAAAAAAAAAAATATTGTTTAAGTGCCAATGTGTGTATGCAATATCACATAAAAATGTTCAAAGAGATTTTTCATTGTTTCCATTTCCTTCCTCCTTGAAAACAGGATGCAAGTACACTACCCCCTCCCATCAACTTTGACCTGGAAGATACTGCTCCACTGCCCTCCATCCTACCAAACTTCTTTGCTGGGGATCAAATCCAAGCAATCCTTGTACCTTTCATGGAAAAGTAAGCAATTTGTCTCCCTTGCAGATTCTAAAATGCAAATAATACAAGTAGATTTGATATAATGAAATATTCGGAGATTTTTGCAATCGATTTATTTTGAACATTCACATCTTGTTGAGATACAATGTAACTATTTGCTGATTAAAGCCATATCATTCTTTAGAGCATTTTGTCTGTCTGAGGTCTCTAAGAGTAATACTATTAGTATCCTGAGGTACATTGAAGGGATTTTTGTTGTACTTGTCCCACTATTCACAATTGCTTCATTGTGCAATTTATTGGTCCATATGTATTGATAGCAGTAAATGCAACTTATCTTGATAGCGAATGAACGCAAACTTTGACAGTTTAGCAACAAGTAGACCAATACATTATATGAATTACTATCTCTTTTAACATCTCTCACAGGTTCTTCAAAGTGTATGATTCCCGAGATAGACAACCACTACTTGAAGTCTACCATGATCAGGTAAAAGATCTTTTTTTTTAAATCACCAATTTTATGCATTGAGAGACTTGCCATTAAATGGTTGTTCATATAAGTTATTTACTCCTAGTGATCATGTGGCCAGTGATATAAGTAGTTTGAAACATTAATATAGCATTTTGAAATTGCAGATTTGACTTTCATGGAATCCACATTACTATTAAGAGTAGCAGTAATAGTAGTTTGGGTTATAGTACTACAACTGCTACAAAGAGACAAGTACGACTTACATTGGCCGTGTTTACAGTATACACTTCCAACAATAGAATTTATACATTCAGTTTATCATGCAACATGCAATTAAAGTGGACACATATTTTGCTTGTGTTTATACATCTGAGTTTCTTTCATTGTAATGTGCTCTCTATCATCTCTTACTGTACAGGGAAGCTTCTCATTATCTATACCTTTGAACCTGGAGCCTGGCCAAGGGAAGACACGCCTCAGCCGCTACTTGAGAGATCATCAAAGCCGCAATCTACTCATCGCAAAGGACCCAGGTGAATGTGAACAAATTATGTGTTCCAGTGATGGAGCATACCACTTACAATCTTTTGTATGTTACTTGGAGAGACACTAGATGAAGAATTCTGATTGGTTAAATTCTGGTTGAATTCACTGAACCTGTCATAAACTGACAGATCACTATTGATGATGATTACTCTATCAGGGTGTGAATATTTATTACCTATATCTGTTCAGATCACTGAACCCTTGGCCAGCATCTCTTGAAAAGATAAATGAAATCTAAATTCCTGACAATCAACCCCTGCTTATGTAAAAGCTTGCATTTTCTGTATTAAATCAGGGTTCCTATAATAGTATTCCATCTTTAGTTTACCAAGAGCAGTGGATGAAAGTTGTAATCACCTCATCCTCTCTTTAATTCCTATTCAGCTCAACGGAACAAGTTGATAAAGCAGAAGAAAGTACCCATCATAGCCTACCTCCATGACCTACCAGCCACTCAACATGATATGAACTCCCTCAGGATGGATGTTTCTATGGCACAGGTATAGTAATCTTATAGATTCTGTGTACTCTCTTTAATTTTGGATATTATTACTTCTTACCCCGTTTCACAAGCTATCAGAGTTCCTGTTTAATCAGAAAGATTAATAATTTTTATGTCAGAAGAAATTTTGGATGTTGGAAGGATAACATTAAAAGAGACAGTGGCTCAAACAGGGAACAGAGGAGAGTGTGGAGACGAAGGATTCCGGCAACCAACCCCTGCCAAGGGAAAATGGTGCATGAAATAGAAGTAGTAGTAGTAGTGGATGATACAAGAAATTCCATTGGACAAGGCATAAACTTAATTAGAAAGAAATTTCATTTGAAGTTATTGTAAAAATGTTATAAATATTGGGACTAGACGATATATTCATGTTACCATGAGCAAATTTAGAGACCTCTGTCTTTCATAGTAATTTAGTTGTAAATGCTACTTAATTTTTTTTCAGGTCAGCTGTAATTTTAAAGAATGTATGCATGCTATTTAATACAACAAAATGAGCAATATAAGACATTGATGATGTGGTAATGTTCTATTCTCTTATTTCCTTATTTACAGGGAAATCTACTGTGTTTCACAGTCAGTGGTACTTTCAAAGAAGGTAAGATAATGCTCAACTATATCTTTCTTAAATGTTATGTTTGTGCTAAGAAATATTATTTTTTCATGGTGTTAAAACTTGTTGTAAATTACTTAATGGCTGTGCATTCTGTAGTTAATTTACATTTAATTCATGAATTTGAGGTCGTAGTACCTTTAGTATGATTTTCAAATTACAATGTGATATCATCTACATGTTTGCTGGATATATCCAAGAACAGAGTAATAAGTTATACCCACTTTATATTATTTAAATAATTATTTTGTCTTCAGTTTCAGGCAAGTCCAATGATGATGTAGTGATAGCCTTCAGTAGGGTGTTTCTAGCTACACATCATCCTAATACTGGCCTGTGTATCATCAACGATCAACTCTGCCTTAGACCAGCTACAAGCCAGCAGAAGGTAGGTGTATACACTGCAGATCTTACATCCAATTTACAAAGAACCAGACTATCTAGTTCAATGAAGCTGTGCTACTTTGTTTATAGTATTTGATTGAAAAAAGAAGAAAAAAGCCTTTTCTAAGAAAAATTTCCTTTTAGAGACAATCCCTAGGAAGTCAGATTATCTGAAGTAACTGCAATAGGGTCAATGCTTAATCTGAATTGTTTTATTATATTTGCTCTTATGGTTTTCCATCAAGAAAATTTTAATTGTGTAATACAAACTAAGCATATATTTTACCTCTGCTGAGAAATATTTTGTGATATATGTAACACAGTCTGACTATTGAATTTATTACGCTATTCTTATTTCTGAGCAATTAATACATTAGTTAAATTCTGGTTTGATTACCGACTAATTTTTCTCAACATTTTTGAATTCTGATTCCAAGACTATATCTCATGCGCTAATCTTCCTCTCCCACTGTCTTACAGAGCTCATTTGCTAGTCCTGGTCCCACACCATCCACCAGCCCTGTCAATGTTCCTACATCAATGCCTGCACCGATGCAGGCACCACAGGGACTCAGCCCAGCACACCAGACGATGCTAGCTGAGTTCATGAGAGTGTCTGGGATGAATGCAGATTGGTCTATGAAGTAAGTGCAAAGTTTGTGGTGAGGGTTGGGGCATGGGCCAGTCCTGGGGGGCGTTTCACAGAACTTGTCAGTGACACATGACAGTTTTTGTTATAAGCTACTGAAACCCTTCCTTTTGATTGGTTATCAGCAGAGTTGTCACTGATTTTTGTCTTCTGTCATTGAAAAAAGGCTTTGTGAAACGGGTCCCTGTTGTTTACAGAGCAAGATTCATTTTGTTTTCCAAATATCAGCAATTCAATAATAAATGAATATAATGTATCATTCAAAGTATGATTCTCCTTGATACTTGGTATGATTCACACTCTAGTAGGGCCATTAAATGACTGGTGTACTGAAATATTAATGAAGATGAATTTTTATGATGCATAATAAACTGGAGAGTCCCTCTAAGTGCTTATTTTTTATGTGATCAGAAAGAAACTGTACAATATTTTTGAATTGCTGTATACGCCTTTGCAATCGCCCTATTATGGTGTGAAATGGCATACAAGATATGAACTGTTTTGAATACAGTAAGGCTGTGCACAACAGTGTAATGAGGTACCCGAGTACACTCCCAGGCTTACAAGCGAATACTCGAATATTCGGACGCCATGTTTTTTAATAATTTTTTTGAATTTTTTTGGATTTTTGGATTTTTTTTCTTTTTTGCCACCACCATACCACTGGTGCAGTATCCCAGTATCGCCGAAAACGCATGCAACTTCACTTTGAGTTGCAGTTGAAAGCGCCGATTTAATAATAATAATAACAGTAAACAATGCTGTTTAAAAAACCAAAGATGGCAGAATAATCCATTGTCCTCCAAGTCCAAACAGAAATCCGGACATTTGGTCCCAGTTTCTGAGTGGTGAGTTTGACAGTGCTTGAGTTAGGAAACATTTTTAGCAACGGTACCATGCCAGCGGCCGCCGCTCTCCCTGGCACGGGTAAGCGTGGGCCTCGACAGTTTTTTTTTTTTTTTTTTTTTGCGGCCGAATATTCGGGTACGAGAATTCGTACCCGAGTAGTTGTCAACCGTGCAGGTACTCGAGCATTCGACTACCCATCGCAGCTGTTAAATTCAATTTAATTAAGATCAATTTATGTGTGTGTTATAAAAATAAGGTGTCAAATTGAATATTGTTTAAATTTATCGAACAGGAGCACTGTGCATAGCCTCTGTTTATTTATTTATTTTTCAATTATTTTTACCAATTATTGTTTTACACAGATGTCTAGTAGAGAATAACTGGAACTATGAAAATTCAGGGAAGGTCTTCACTAGTCTAAAGGTAATTCATCCTTTGCTGTTGTTAATGATTGTTACAACCCATCCATAAGATTGTTTCCTTTCATGAGACAAGATCCTCCTTGCACTATTAAATTATTTACTTGGTTCAGTGTGTACGGTATCGTTAAGAATGTATTAATGAATAGCGACTTTACCCCAATTTATTGGTCTTTTGATTTTTCATGCATTGATCAATATAGTTGAGACATTGCTCTTTCATATAAAATTTCAGTTTCATTGTTTGACCATATGCAAAATATAAAGTACTCACCCTCACCAATACCCATCGAGGGTTTTACAAAAACATGACAAATCCAGTCAAAATATAATTTTGATTATCTAATTTAATTTAGAAGGTAATGTAAGTTCCTAGCAAACAGTATTTTGCAAAATAGAATCACTTTCTAGTATAATGTATTTTTATAAAATATTGCCTACACTTTCAGAATTGGTTATATACCAAATAAATGGCTTAGTTATATGTGTATTTTTTACAACTATTACATTTGTTGTTGTTGTTGGTTTCTTACCCATTTTTAACTCCTCTTTTTTTTCCTTTTGTATTTCAGAGCGAAGGGAAAATTCCACCAGAAGCATTCAAGCAAGCTTGATGAATACAGTCTTGTAAAATAACCAATGTTTGAAATGTGATCTGTTGTGTTTTTAACTTTTTATGATACTGTAGAATGGTTGAATTCCTGTGTTGACACGCCTCCAAACATCATTAAATCAAATATTTATGTGTGGAAGGGACATATGCCTTCACTATTTATCTGGATATGATTTATGTGTGATTATATTTGAGCTTAGTCTGATGTAAAAGCTGTGTTTATTACTGAGCAGATACTGAAATTGGTAAATTATGTTACTTTTCATGGCATATAGAACAAATATGAAAGGGAAAAAAATATGTTAAATTTGTGAACTTTGATGGATGCAATACCTGGGATTATATCTCTTATGATACACAGTAAAATCGAAATGGACAAAGGCTGCGTGTCAGGAAGTATTAGAACAGAAAATGAATACCTATAAATGCTATTCATACAGGCATGTTTCATACTTTTTAGGGTACTGTTTTTTAATATGATTGTTTATTTGTTGTTTGTTTACATAACATCAGTTATGAAATATGTAAAATTCAAAGGATATATATGATCTCTCAATTATGTATTGTTCTTATAAATGACTGGAGCATATGTATTTTAAATCTCAGGAAGGTATATTACATTAAAGCAAAGGGTTTGATTTTAAATCTTAGGTTTATTTACAATCAAAAATGAAATATTTGATATTCAAATTGCATCAGATCACATTTTGTTAAAGAATAATGATTTAACCCCAAAAAACATTTCAAAGTTTTAGTTTAGATGATTTTAGATATTCTATGATATTTTGTGGCTTGATGGCAAGTGCTTACCGGTATATGATTTGAAATGACAATCTCATGTATAGGTTGTTTCATTGTGTTTCTGTATATAGAAGAAATCAAAGAGAACTACAATTTTACATCAAATGTATTAAGGTACATGTATATCAAAATCAAAGTTGCAGTTTGCAGACATTTATCAAATTCATTTTCAATCACGAATTGGTAGTGATATAAAGCAGCGTGAATTAGCTATATAATAGTGTTTTTGTCACTAGAAGACACGTGACATGAACAATTTTTTGTGCAGTTGCCATGTATGTTGTGATTGACAAATTTAATAGATAACTTTCCAGTTTCTTTTTCTAATGTCATTGATTCAGCATACTCTAAAATACAACAAAAATCATGGTCCCCTATCTTCTCTGAAACTTCCCCCCTTTTCCTTCCCCTCCTCATGTTACTCATCTTGTTTGTGGTGGAGTAAGAAATTGAACGTTGCTTGACTGGAGGAACTGATCAGTCTGATGTTCAGATTTGGTCTGGAGACAGCTTCTTTACAACATCAAGCTAAAATGCCTCTGATGGAAATACAGTCAAACCGGTACACATTGTAGGAAAACCTCAAGAGAGGCAATAATTTGGTATTTTTTGTCCAGGTCTTATTCATATACAGATTCAGTAGGCAGGTGGTCTTTTCTGTACAGGTTCCTATGGTAGTATCGTCTTTGAGAAACTGTGTACCGTAGTTGAAACGACATGCGATCTTGATATTCAGGTGGTCCCCCACACTGTTGTTGGCTAGCTAGAGCAGGTGAAATTGATATAAAGTATGATGGCATTGGAGGAAGCTTGCTAAGATCCCTCAATGTTGTAGGCATTGCATTGGTCATGTGACTGTAATGGAAAGCTGGAAGTCAACTCATGTAGTTCTACTTTCACTTTGAATACCTGCACATAGATAATGCACCTGCTGTCACCTGATCTTATTTGGAGGTCCTCCAAGTCACATGCTTTATTCTGGTCAGTGTATATTGTATTAAATGTACCTCGCAGATGACATACAGAAGTGTTTTTTATACATTAGTTATTGAGGTACTATATAAGCTTACTGTCGTATACTAGGTTTTCACTGCTACCATTGCAGAGAGCTTAGTGAGGTGGTGTATTCCATGTTTGGCACCTCACATGTATAGGGTTTAGATTGATGTGCTGTCTGAGATATGTTGTTTAATCAATACATAGACAGTTAAGCTGATTGTTTTTCAATCATTTCTTTTGAAATTCATCACTATGATGTTAGTACCTTTCTTGGCTCAAGTTTGCTTGTTTCTTCAAACAGCGTATCATGCTCTGACTGCACTATACTTGTGCTAGTCACTTAGTATGATTCTATGCTGGTATTCAAGGCTGTCTTTAACGAAAGCTTATTGAGACCAGCATGAACTATGATGTTTATTTCTTAGCTCTATTCATTTGAATTCTCTGAGGGCACTTTCTAATTCAGAGCTTTGTGCAAACTTCTTATTTTCTGATGAAGAGTTAAATGGAACCCACTTCCATTTGTGGTACCAATCATGTATCATGTATCTCCATTGGCATAAACACAGTTGGATCTTGTTTACTTCCATTCTACATGGTTGGTAAATTGACCAGACTTAATCTGCTGTATAAAAAAATTCAGGACCAGATCGTGGAAAGTAACATCAGGATCTGTGATTTGATACCAGCCTCTAAAACACACCACTATCAATGCCTCCAAGCTAAGTCAAAGTGCTGTATTACTATGCACTATTACAGTGACAAAGCTTTGCTGGATCGAATACACTTGTATATTTGTCCTGATCTGCATTTCTCAGTTAAGAACTAATTCTGCATTCCTCGTCTCATTAAAAAATTGCACTATGGTTGTGCTTCCAAGTATATATATATGGAGAAACGTGTCTAGAAGTTCAGACTACCATATCGTGCCTCTTCTCATTTGCATCTGGTCGTTTCAGGACACGAAGAGAAGTTTGCACAGTGATATACTTTTGATTGGTATAACTCTGCTATCAGCCCATGGAGGGGGCTTTAATTGGTGCACTTCTTGGAAGGGGGGGGGGGGGTATATGTTCTACCTACCAAGGTGGTTCTAGTAGACTCGTTCATACATGCTGAACTGCTGCATTTTATTTTCTTGATTTAACAATGTAAGTGTAATATGCTTTACATTTTTGTATCTTATAATACAGAGTGCTGTGAAAGTGTGTGTTTGTTGTGCCCAGTTGCCATTCATTTACACAGTTAAAAAATGTGGCATATTTTTGTGGCAGGTTACCATCTCATACCTGTATGAGCCACAAAGGGAGTTTTCTCTGACTCTACTGGAGTGGGTTTTTAACTCTGTAACTTTGCCTGATGGAAGATTGTCATCTGCACAACATATTGTAGTTTCCACTGATCCATCAAGGTGGTTTAACTTGTCTTTGGGATGGTATCCCTAGACTTGAGGTAGTTTCAGTTTACCCCATACCTTTAAAGATAAAGACCAGTTATGGCCATGCGATTGCATTGTGAAAGAAACGTTGTGGAATCGATCAGAAAAGGCTGATCATCTAGCATAGATGTACTGCAAGGTTCTGGAATCATCAAAATGATAAGAAATTTGGCCCAGTCTTCATAAAGTTACAAGCACTGTACACAGAAAGATGTATAAGGGACTTGCCACATGTGCGGGACACGTGCGTTATATCTATCAGGTCAAAATAGATAAACTAATTAACCAAATATATCAACTAGTAGGCAGTTTCCCGGCAAATTGTTATCATCATGTATTATTCAAAACATAATCTTTCACATGATTGGTAATAAGAGCTTCCATTTCATTTTTGAAATTGAGGCGTTTCCAATACTGGTCTTTACCTTTAAGGTAGTTTGACTCGTACACCTGCACCGTTTGAAGGAAATTTCGGTTGGTCTGCTCAAGTGTTTTGTCTCTTTTGTGGGTTCTTAAATATACTACTGGAGGAATTTCAGTTTGTCCACTCCAGGGGGTGTGGTATTTTGTCCACCCCTTTGGGTAATTACTCTCTTTCTCAGTAAACCCAGTCTTGCATACATTCTGTCTGAGGAAGATTTAATTTCTTTCTCAGCATTATGTAACATCTCCTTTCACACTCAAGCGAGTCCCCTCTTTCTTCTTTTCTACGTATCCTTAATCTCCTGCCTTTTTAATCGCTTTTTATTGAAAAGTTTAAAGGACAGTCTGTCATGTAAGCACCTTCTTTAAAATTGATGGGCTCTTGTAGCTCTCTCTCTCTCTCTCTCCTATTCATATTGTTTTTTTCCATGTGTTCATGTATCTTAGATAATTAGTAACACAAAGTTTAGTAATGGACAATTTTTGTTGTTGCAATCACTCTTTTTCTATTTTGTACATGTATATATATCTTTTCTTTTGTTTTGAGGATGGAGGTTATCATTTTGATGTTTAAAAAAAGGCTGCGAAGTGTTCTTATTTTCGAGATGATTTTAACCAGCTAATAACTAAATGTAATAGCATCAATTGATCGTGCTTTAGAACATGAACAATGAGTGTGTAAATAGTGTTATATAACAAATAGCTGTTTACTGTGCTAAATGGTGCAAATGTTTTTAAGAGAACATGCAAAAAATAGGAATCTTCTATTAAATCCGTAGGTGCATGTTTTAATATGTACAAATGTAGTTTTAGCTTCTTGGGGGCTATACCAAAACAAATTCAAATGGTTTGTTGATGTGAAGTATTGCGTGAGCTGTCCTTAAGAAGTAAGCATTTACAAATATAAGATGCAACAAATGGGACACCAATTCATAAAGTGTATGTTTTTTAACCATTTAATTTAGGTAAGAGCAAATTTTTATAGAAATTTTTTTTCTCAATGATTCTGTTATGAAATGTTGTATGTCACTTTTGGTGTTGAGCATTAGAAGAAAAAATGATATGTGAATCCAAATTAGAGGCAGTACTCTTTAATTTATTTGTATTTTGTGTTCAGATGTTGATTAAATTTGAAATGAATGGGTCAAGTAGGCTTTTAAGCCTTTTATGAATGTAAATTTTCTACTACTATGAAGACAGACTGTCAATTATATGCAGTGCTTTAAGGGAATGTTATGATTTGTGTGTTTTATACAAATGACATTATTACTACAGGTAAAGTTATAAATGACCAACAATTTTGTTTAAATGTGGAAAGAGTGAATATTATTTCCACCAAAGTTAACACTCCACATCTATTAGAATTAAGCAATAATGGGCCTCAACAGTGGAGGGAAAAAAATAAGCGTGAAGCACCAAAGTTTTATGCTATACCATCGATTTTAAATTTGTTTTGAGTACAGTGGAAAAATAGAAATGATTAAATTTTACTTAACACCTTGCCAATAACAAAATTAATTTGTGTTTTCTCATTTACTAGTAGGACACAGTGATATGAGCAGCCATGGAAGAGATGTAAAGGGAGCAGAATAAAGAGAATTGAAGATTGAAAGGAGGGTGAAGGAATGAGAGAGAGGGGGCAGGGAGAGAAAAGGAGGGATAAGCAGAGAGATGTGAATGGGGGCAAGCGTAAAGACTAGCGTAAAGACTAGAAAAAAACAACAAAAACCAAAAGACATTAAAAAAAGGAATATTTATGATCTGAAACATCAATTTACAGTGGAAGAGATCGCCTTAAAAGCACACTGTCCTACTCGTAGCTACTCGCTCCCTCTATATAGAAAACTTCCCCAATCGGTGCCTGTTGGTCCCCCATGATCCTCTTTTTCTTATGTTAAATGAGAGCCGAGTTAATGAGATAGCCACCTGTCACAGTGACCTCGCTAGCTCGCTGGGTGGTCTAATCCCTTCTGGCTGAAGTAGTAAAGCCTGTCTTTAACAACAAATACAACTATAAATAAATATCAACACACTCAAACTAGTTTTATTCTTCACCACATCCCATATTTTATTTGAAACAGCTCACATCAGATTTTTTTTTAAAGCTATACAATCCGATGATTAATTACAATGGAGAGCAAGAAACTCCTTTTCATCTCGATTTATCTCTCAGCATATATATATAGTTTTCAATCATACAGTTTAAAAATCACACACCCAATTTTAGACAATAAAATTATGAAGGAAGACGACATTGAAACCTAGTTGAAGGTTCTAATCTTCCTGTGATAATACGAGTATTGAAAGTGTGATTTCTTGTGTGATTTTAATCTCACTTTTTTCATCGTGCAATTTGATAATTTCTCTATGTAATATTTTCTATTTGTTTTGAGAGACTGAAATGTTTACAAACATGAATTTCTTGATAAAAAGCTGCTGTTTAGCACAATAATTAACTTTTTCCACTGCTTACCTAAGAATCTAGCAATAAAGCATAGACGCAACCTTAATTATACCTGACAGATGACAACATATTAAAGATTAGCTCGTAATGCCATGGCAATTTTTTAACAACCAGTAACAGTTTGGCTAGACCAGAGTACTAGGTTACCATGAATAATTCAAATGCATAGCTGCCAACCTTCTGTAACAAAAATTAAGATTCTCTCAGATCAAAAACAGAATACATTGTATTTTGTATGCTTAAACACAACAGGAGAATTTTTTTTCCCATTTTCATTGAATTTCTCCTTCTTGAACCAGTTCAAGATTTTCTGTCTTTTAAATAATATTGTGTCTTTCACATTTCTAAATATGCAAGGTGAGTTTCATGTGCGCATGTTTTTTTTATACCATTCCTATTTTTGAATAAAGCAAAACACAAAGTTTCCTTAAATAACATTTTGTTAAAGGTTCAGAGTGTAGAAATAATGAAAACCAGGTAAACCAGGTACATTTTGATTGAAACACATTTGCGAATCCGTTTCCCATACCAGTAACCCAAATCCTTAGCAAAAAACTAGTTCAGTCTGCCTAAAAAATATTTGATTTTCTTAAAATCTTTTTTTATACACTATTGTTTGACATTATATATACAATAAGTGATTGCGTACATTTGATAAAAAGAAATATTCATTTCGGCAAAAGGCTATGATACAAATTTCTCACAATTCCTTTTTCTAACCACACAATACAGCAACATTGAAATTTTTTCTTGTAATTATTAATTTTGATAGAAGGAGCCATGGACTTTCGTAAAAAATATCATATTAATAATTACATTGATCTGTTAAAACAATTCCAATCAAATGCTTCAAGATATGCAATTTCTCTGGCACTGCACATGGGGAAGTTAAAGGACTTCACTTTATTCTTTTTTTAAGGTGAAATAGAAATGTAACAATTTTGCTTGTAAATTTCCATTTGATTTGCTTTTGTAATTCATTTCATATGAGTGGACCACTTTTAAAGTTATCTTATACTAATATATGCATACAAATAATAGATGTTAGTATTTTAACGTTAGAGTATTACAGGAGTACAAAATGGAGTAATGATGGACTACCCAATTTAAATTAACATAAAATAATATAAAAAACATTTCAGGAAAACAACTATTACATCTAATAACAACAGCAACCTCTATTCAATATAATGAAAGCAAAATAATAAGTTATAACCAAACAACAAATATACTATAGTAAAGTGTTAAATGAAAAAAAACCTCATGAGTAGCATTTTGAATACAAATGTTTTCAAATTTTGTGCATTATGGTTCTAAATAAAATAGTTCTTTAAGGTAATTTCACCCTATTACCAGAACTCAAATCTTTTACTTTAGGCATTCAACTAGAAAGCACCAATATAACAGCACATCATATATAGATTCATGGGCATCCAAACATGAGGTACCAATGATGTTCCAAAAGAGATATCTATAACCTTGAGAGGGAGTAGGGAGGGGCACCTGCTAAATCAATACATCTACACCCCTGGGTTAAGCAACTAAAGAGCAACAAATCTTTTACAAAATCAAGGTAATTCTACCATCGGCCTGGGACAAAATGTGTGTGTGATTGTGCTTAAAACTTGAATGATGTACGGTATACAAACACTTGAGAGCAGCCTTCACAACATTTAGAAACATGAATGATTCAATGATACTGAACTCAAAGAGGTAGCAATAACGGTAGTAAGGAGAGAGGGATGGAAAGAGCAATGATAGTGAACAAAAACCAGGAAGAAATCTTTAACATCTCTTTCGTTTACTGTGTATATGGTATATCTTCTGGCAAAAAACCTCTGACCAAACTCACAGAAATATTGATTGAGACCTGTTTCTTGTGTTGGAGATGGTCGACTGCACAATTAAGTCTTGACAAAAAAATTCAGTATCGTCTCAATTACGCTGATATATCAGAGTGCAAAAAATACCACATATACACACTGTACTGTACACACTGGGGAGAGAGGAAATGAAACATGAAATCACTCCTGAGCAATTGTCATCAACTCAAATCACAGCTAGGCTACACAGGTGAGTCAAAATGATGTCATAAAAATAATATATACAGACTTCATATTTGTTGAGAATTGTTAAAGATTGTATGTACTAAAATTGAAATCTACCAGCAAGAGAATGCTCTTCTATGAAAGTGCCTTCTTACCAAATTAAAGTCATACGACATCGGGATACACTCATAATTGTATTATTTGAGATATGAATGTATCTGAACACTCACAGAGGTTGCAGAATATTTAAAGCTTTTGTTTACAGCATCATTGACTATATTCATGACCCCCCCCCCCCCTACAAGGATGCAACTATGGACGTTCCTGATCAGTGTTTGCAGAGCAGGGCCAACTCCTTGAACTTCAGGCATATTATAGATGAGCACTATGTTAAAATCCATGGAATTCTCTGGTTGGAAACTAGAAAAGCTGGATGATAGAATCTCTGCTCTTACCGATTCCAACCCACTTAACTGTGATAGAAAAAGGAATAAAAGAGAACAATGGATTATACTCATCAAATGCAATCCTACAAGATTATACCCAGGTCTTCAGGTTAAGTGAGGTTATTTTCTTCTCAAAATATACCATCGAATGCAATCCTACAAGAATTCTTATATCTATTTTCTATCGACAACTATCCATAGAAGAGTAATATAATTAAGGGATTAATACTATTTTATTAAATGAAATATGAAATCATGTGCTTTTAAATGAAAACCACTGAATACTGGAAATCAGCTGGTAATCTACAGATAAATTTAAATTTGAAGGAAAGAATGAAAGAGAATGTCATTGGACAAGAAATGGCTCATGAAGGGGAAAAAAGACTTGATACACTCACAAAACCATCATCAAGTAAAATTTCATCAGCATCCCATTGAAAGATATGTCTTAGAATTCAGACACTTTTGAAAGGAGTGTTGTCAAGCTTGTGCTTTTGATCATTAAGTTCCTAAAATGTCCTGGCAACATATTGAAGTAATAATGTAAGATTCAATGTGCACAAATACTTACTTGGGATGCCAATAAGTTCCTCTGCCTTGCGGACATACTTCTGGGCATTTACTGGGAGATCTTCAAACTTCCTACAGTCAGTTGTACTCGTGTTCCACCCAGGCATCGTCACATACTCAACTTCCACTTCCTTCAACACATCTTGATGGGCTGCAGAAAAAAGAAGAAAAAAAATTGTCATCAATTAGCTCTAAGATATGATACGTTACCGATCCCTTTAAATTGTTTTGTGTTGGTAGACCTTTGAATTCACCCTCTTCTTGGGCATTCAAAAGATTTTAAAAGAAAGTTGAGAAAAAGAGATTTCATAAGAGAAATGTCAGAGTATCCATAAATACAAAATACTTGAACAAAAAACTCTTGTGATAATACCTAAACTTTGAATTACCTGATGCAGAACCAGACTTCAAGCTCTTGGCAGTGTCCAGTGAAAAAATGTAGCTAGTCTTTAAATGCTATGAATGAGAACCTGATGTCATTACTGTATATGTGTCCAAGATTGACACTATCTAAAGTGTCACAAAGTTGGCAGTGAATTTTATTAACTATAATAATAATAATAATAATAATAATAATAATAATAGGCATTTCTATAGCGCCATCTATCTACAAATTCTATTCCGAGGCGGATGTATTATTACCCCCGCTTTAGCCTAGTTGCCATTACAGCGCTCCAGCATTTCAAGGAATTAATTCCTGCCAGATAAGATGTAATAGCTGAATTACAGAGAAAAGTATTGTGTTTTCTTACCTGGGAATGAAGGAAGAGGTTCTCCATCGATCAGGTACTTGACTCCAATCTTAATCTCATCAAAGATATCCAGGATATCCAGCTTGGTCATAGCAAGCCTGTCCAGGGTAAAAAAAATGTGTTCAAGGTTATTCAGTATAATTACATTAGGCATAATGATTACATCCGATTCTAGGATGACCAACCTCAGACTACCCTTCACAGACACCATAGGGTAATTAATTACCACCCCCCACATACTAATATAATTTTAATAGGAGTTGATGTCCAAAGGGAGGGTGGATGTGGGGAATTGTGAATATTCCTACAGGGTACTTGTCTGAGGGGGTAGCTGTCCAGGGGTTGCTGTTTAGGGATAGCAGTCGGAACAGATAAATTTGCTTGTGTTCTGTTTTGAGACATTTCTGTTGTTTAATATGATCCAGATTAAAGTAGCTATTAAAACAGTCTTTATTTTAGCATAACTGGTTAATTACCAGACAAAAATTCTCTCAAATGAATTTCCAACCCCTCTTCCCCATTTTAAAAGCATGCATATAGTCATTAAAACCAGTAAAACTGGACAAGGTACCAAGCTAAATCTATTTGTTTGTTTGTACTTACGCACTGAACCCGTTGATCATGTGAACGTATTTGAGAAGGACCACATCTAACCAACCACATCGTCGTCTTCTCTTGGTCGTCACACCAAACTCTTGACCTGTGCTCTGTAAAAGGTCACCAAGCTCCTATCAAGACAATAGCAATAAGGAAAGTAAGATCAGTTCATACTGCCTTTCATTGGCAAAAGAATTCGGACTAAGATCAAAAGATCTGGGTATTAAACTAAAAGGTGAGTGTTTCAGTTCCTGATCATCACTGTGGCTATACAAGTTTGTGATTAAAGATTAAACTGAAGCTGGCAGAAATCACTGATTTCACTCTCACAAATCCTAACTCCATCATCATTATTTATTAAAGTTAACATTTTCCACAGACTTTTGCCCTATGATGATGACACTCCCTTCCTCCACTTCTTCTTGTCAAGCAGGTCCTCAGCCCCAGCCCACTATTTTTCTTTAACATTAATACCGTTTAACCACTGCAAGATCCCTCTCGACAAGAATTCAATCTTCAGAGGTAATTTTGAATGTATAGAGAATAGAGCATCATGATATCACTCTGTAATTGTGTCGTCGTGTAGATAAATCACTGAAATGGTATAAGGTATTTCTCCTTCTCTTACAGTGTCTTTCCTTATAAATACATATAAAGAAGTCAACTGTAAGAAGCTGAAAAATTTACACAATCAAAATTTGAAACAGGAAAGAACAGGGAAGAAATACTAGTAGAATATAATATTTCCCATAATATTCAGATAATTTTTCTTTACCTCTTCTAATAAAATATGATCTATTCTTGATACATAAAGTTTATATCTTCTCAGAGTGTTATTGATCAATGTCGCTGACTCTTTAGATTGATCAATATATATATAAACATTTATCAAGAATAAATCATATTGTAACAATCATTTCGTGAAGAGAGATCAATACAAATTATTCCAACTTTATGGGCAATATTGTAAAAGAAAGAAATGTAAATGATAACATATGTACTCAAGATCATGTGGCGAAAATCATCCAACGACGATGGAAAACACACCAAAAAAAATCAAACAACAACAACATGCTTCTCCAACATACATATGATCATCCGTAGACCTGTACTTACATTCAGCTGCTCAGTTGGAAAGGCACCATCTCCTACCCTGGTTGTGTAAGCTTTGACTACACCGTACACTTCACCAATACTCCTAGGTGGAATTCCCAACCCTGTACAAACACCACCTATTGAGCAGTTGGACGACGTGACGTATGGATATGTCCCTGGAAAACAGAACAATAACAAGGAAAATTATCAGACCTGCCAACCCCTGGAGTTCAAAAACTGTATTCTTTAATCCCCAAAGTTGTATTTTACTGACAAAAGTTGTATTCTTAAAAATAAACACGGACTGTTACGCGGATCGATGCCTCTTACAGTTCCTACATACAGGAAGAAATTTTTTAAAGGATCGTTGGTTGAATATGCATGATTTCGTCACGACTGGTGTGTTCGATGAACCAATGAACATCCCCAAATTGCCGATGTGAGATGCTTGTAGGATACTTCATAGGACAGAATGGGCATTTTGCCATTGAAAATGGCACACACACACAAAATACCACCGAAATTTTTTTTTTTTAAATTCCCCCAAAAAAGTGTTTTTTTTGGTTGTTGAAAATCGTATTTTATTGAGGAAAATCGTACTGTCGTATTTGCTTCTAAAAATTGTACTAAATATGACTAAATCGTACGGGTTGGCAGGTCTGAATTATCATCACATTATGATAACTTTAAACAATGGAGGAAAGCAGTATGTGTCAACACTGTTGTAAGTGCAAAGTGAACATATACATGAACAGTTAACAACTACATTTTCCATAACCCTTGAAGATTTAATTAATTTTTTTCTTAATAACTCAAGAATAAAAGTCATTGGTTGAATTAGAGCCTTTGTTCAATAATTCAGATCTAAGCTTTAATATGTCACATTCTTACGAAATGCAAATCAGGACAATTACATTTTTCACGCACTTAAAAAATTACAGAACTTGGTAAGGGTATGAATAATTTAGTTAACTGTATACATTCTATTTCAACAACTTTTGGAAAGAAACATTCTATTAAAATCAAATCTTGTCCATTGACACACAAGACCTTTTCATTAAAAACAGAAAAGTAAATTGATTTTCTCTTAACAGCTCACATAAGATACATTCGGAAATCAAATTTGGTTCTTTTTGGTACACAACACCCTTTTATTGAAAAACAAACAAACCCTGAAATGTAAAATAATGGTCCCCTGAATGATCCGCTTAATGTCAAGTGAATTGTATGGTTTCATCTTTCTTATCTTGCTAGCCAGTGGACGAGCTTGCTATAGTTCAAGTACAATAACTGATATTAATCAGCTTTAGAACACATCTTTAGGGAAGAGGTAGAAACAAACACTCTTGGCAAAACACTACTGACATAATAAACAAGTTCTCACCGAAGTCGATGTCGAGCATGGTAGCATTGGCGCCCTCTACCAGGATGCGTTTTTCAGGTTCTTTGAGCAGCGAATCCAGGAGATAGACTGTGTCACAAACCATAGGCCTGATCTGCTTGGCATATTTCTGCAATGTAATGATTCAGAAACGTAATGCAATTAAATTTTTATCGTCTTCATGTTGAATTGAATTCAAGTACGCTGAATAGTCGATTCACGAGTCACTCTTTCAAGCGTTATTCCAGCATTTAAACTTGCCATATCAAATTCAAAAAGTAAGATTTTAAGTTGATATTTTGAAGGTAGAACACATGCATGGAGCTCTAAATGTGCAAAGTGGAACTTTTTTTCTCTTTCATAAATGGTCTCTTTCATATTTAAAGCATTTTACTAACCAGTGACCTTCAAAAACAGTGTTCCTCTTTCAGTATCATGTATATATTTAAACTATTTCAATTTTTCAAAATCTTGTAAGAGTTTTACCTGATATCTCTGTAGCTCGGACTCAACATCGACTACAAGTTGAGGGAACAGTTTCTGATGGATGTTGACCAGTGCTCGAAACCTGCAAGAAGAAATACACATTTATGCTTTCAATTCATATACTCATACATGTAGCCTTGAAAGTACTGCCCAAACCTTAAAAATAAGACAATTGTTGGTTCAACTCTTTAAACTACATCTTTTTACTACTTTTCCTATGCTACAACTTGCTTATAAAAGGTAGGGTGGCATCCAAATATAAATTGATTCCCGTTGATGTACAAGGCTGCATATAACTCCTATTTTGTTATTCAAACATATAAATGTATTTCATCAATTTTTAATATTTTTTAAAATAATGGACATAAATAAGGCTTGTCAAAGATAGTTGTAGAGGTGTAATAAACTAATTGACTTACTTTTCTTCAAAAACTGTGAAGTCCCCCATGAGGTCACAGACACGAATGCCAGTCCTGCTGGCTTTTGAGGAATAAGTTGGACCAATTCCCTTCTTCGTTGTGCCAAGACTGCAGATGAAAAGTAGAAAAACATGGAAAAATTGTTTGATATTGCTTAGTAAACACAAATTCACTCAATTGATTTGAATGAAACCTTGTATATAAAGATTGGGCAACAGAATGGTAAGTTAACATGGAATATTCTAAATTGAATTAAGTAATAGGGTACAGAACAGACATACACCATTTACAAAATGAACGAAAATCAAGCCTCACACAGGGTCACCATTCAGTTCATTTAGGTTATTGAGTTTGGACTTCAAAACATTCATTGACTGATGATGCCTTAAAGGTACTATGTCCCATTTGCAGCAAAAAAAATGAATAAGTTAAATTCCAACTGCATTTGAAAGATAATACTTATTTAGAACTTCCCTAAAAAAGGTGGGGCTTGAAAATGTCTTCAAGTGGGAAAATAATGACTATTAGTTGTCAAATCGACTTTAGGGCTATAGAGCCCAAAAGTAATAGTCTTGATTTTCAGACAATTGTACCGAATGGTCATACGTTTTATGCTGCGCAAAGATTCAATCAGTTTAATCTTGGCCATCACAAGAAGTGGGTTATTGATGTAGACAAATGCTCATGTACCCTTTACAACTCTTTTCATGTATGTTATTACCAAAGAAGAAAAAAAGCCAGTCAGTCACTCAATAGTGTCTGACAGTGAAGTCTAGCAAGTGAACAGGTTTCCTTGCATAATTTGAATATGAGGACACTGCTAACATTTAAATTTCACAGATAGGACATACATGACATATTCATAATTCCTGCAACGTTCTACAGAATTTGAGGTTGGCTGCAAAAGGGACATAGTACCTTGAAAGGGATCCGGTAAATTTGTCTCAGATTCTGAAACAAAATCCTGGATTTAGCTCATGCTGCAATGATAACAAGTCAACGCAAAGCGTAGCATCCCCTCGTAGGGTACAAATGGCCTATATATGCCAGAACAAGTTACCTCCATTGGACTATACTATCATATTACTAGGCAAGGAAGTTAACCACTTTTTCAAATATATAATTAGGTGTTTTTTACATAGTTAATGAGCTATGACCTTTCACCTTTGACCTACATACTCAGATATCGAACTTAGGCTGTACATGTATTTTGATACCATGTACCTTCATATCAAATTTCATTAAAATCCGGCAAACATTACTGAAGTAATCGATCGGAATCCAAATTTGTTACGGACGGATGCACGGTACGACGCACAGACGGACGGTAGCATGTATATCCCCTCCGATCTTTAGGTCAGTCAGGAACCCCATGACTTTTACAAGCCAATCGCCTGTCTGATTATCAAGATATTGATGATTGGAAATCGAAACCAAATTGTGTGCTTGCCAAACGGTTTTCATAGCACTACAGTTTATTGGGGAAAACAAGTATGGTAAAACTGGTCACTCAAAGATTTTTACTTTTTGAGGCACTTCTTGATCATTTTGAAGCGCAATTTTTTTTTTTGTAGGGCTTCAATATTATACCATATTACAGACACTGATAACACGTAGGGCCGTGCATCTCAGATTTAAATTTTTTAATGACGCCTTTAATAATGTCAGCAGAAAGGTCATTCCAAAAATTAATTACCCTTTGACTGAAAGAATGTAACCTTTTGGAGCTCGACATCTCCTCTTATAGAACCTAAACTTGTGTCCTCCAGACAGTGACTTGATCATTAAGAACAAGCTCAGAGAAAATAAAGATACTGTCCCTGATCCATCTCAGAAGATTTCATTCTTATAAAATTCTATAAAAGGTCAAGCACATCAGTCTCTACTTATGAATCGTTATCATTTTAATCTTCTCACTTTTCAGCAAGCGAATTGACATATCTCTCATTTTATGTAATGGGTGTCTTTCCAAGGTTATGCGGATTACAATACTCCCATGTTTTTCTGCTCATTGACATTTCTCTTCAATAAATAATAGTAGTGGGTTCTTGTGAAGTGCTCATGTCTGTCAGACTTGACACTCCTAGCGCTCCACAGTTATTACCCCAGCTTTAGCACACACACAAAATAAAAACCCATAAAAAACATTATATTTACAAGGGGTATGAATAATTCATCTTTTCTCTCCCTTCTATTACAATCTCCTGTTCTCTCAACATCTCCCACTGTCTCTCTTCCTATTATGTGCGTCTGTCTGGGAGAATGGAAGAATGGAAGAAAGGGAGAGAGAGAGAGAGAGAGAGAGAAGCCTTGATGGAAACAATATTGTCACCACTTTATGATGAATATAACTTGCTGACTTCAGACTTCATGTACCTGTATATCAAAACCACAAGCAAAAGACTAATTAAGAACATACACGTACCATGTGACAGCCATGTGAACGACACAAATTAACAATAAAAAGCTACTTTCAATTCACAGCAGTACAAATTTGTAAGGAAGTGAAAGTCCCATTTGTCACTCATGACGTGTATCTGTCTTTGGATCGTTTAAAAAACAGTGCATTTAGATTAAATCTAAATAGTCTTTGCCTATCAATGTACTGTATGGTGTTTCAAAGCCTCTGCCCTTAGGTGGTGGTCTTGATGCTAAGGCGACTCTACCCCCCCCCCCCTCCAAAAGAATGTTGAATTCAGTCTGTAACAAAGACAAAATATGTTGGTTTTTTCCTCACTTTTCCTCCTTCTATTTGTGATATGTATTGGTTTGAGCCTGGAACTATCAAGATTAGCTCTTTTCTATTTCTAGATTCACTTTAATAATATTTTATCTTTTGAACATTGTGGACCAGTATGCCCTTTTTAAAGGGGGAAAGGGGAGGGGGGAGAGAGAGAGAGAGAGAAGCCTTGATGGAAACAACATTGTCACCACTTTATGATGAATATAACTTGCTGACTTCAGACTTCATGTACTGTACCAGTACTATCATAGTATCAAAACCACAAGAAAAAGACTAATTAAGAACATACATGTACCATGTGACAGCTATGTGAATGACACAAATTATCAATAAAAACCTACTCTCAATTCACAGCAGTACAAATTTGTAAGGAAATGAAAGTCCCATTTGTCACTCATGACGTATATCTGTCTTTGGATTGTTCAAAATAACAGTGCATTTAGATTAAATCTAAATAGTTGATGCAACACACTCTATGGTTGAATCAAACTGATTTATTTCATAGGTCTACTCACTTTTATGTTGATTGGTGACTGGATGTTCATTATATAATCATATATCATATTGTAATAACCCATCCACACAGAAAGTCTTTGCCTATCAATGTACTGTATCATGGTGTTGATGCTAAGGCGACTCTACCCCCCCCCCCAACAAAAAAGTGTTGAATTCGGTCTGTAACAAAGACAAGATATGGTTTTTTCTCACTTTTCAAAATGCATTGGTTTGAGCCTGCAACTATCAAGATTAGCACTTGGACTTTTAGCACTTTTCTATTTCTAGACTCACTTTAACAATATTTTATCTTTTGAAAATTTTGGACCAGTATACTTTTCTCTGAAAGAGGAAGGAGGGGGGGGGGGGGGAAGACAGAATCATCCCTTGCAAGGAATATAGAGAACGTGGCTGTAAACTGAGCTTCAATACGAAGCAAGGTGAGATGATATCATTTAAACAAGTGTGGTCTGAGTCAGATCAATAAAAAGAGACCTGGGGAAACCTATATCCACCTTGGATTTACTGATCTAGTTCAGCAAATGATGATAGCTCTACATGTAATGTGTCCAATACAGGACAAACATCTCCCAAACTAAGGATGTGGGTTATATCAGTGTCTACGAATTGAGGTCGTGACTTTTGTTTTGATCTTGTTTGTCACACATGAATTACCCTGTTGAAAGGGAACAGAAGCGTGAGATACTTTAGCCCTAATAGGAGAAATCCAATTTAAAATGTGTATCATACAAAAATCAAATTCTACTATGATTTCGACCTGATGCTAGGTTTAAGTTTTTTTTTCTTCTTCAGGTATAAGGAAATTAGTCTGAGGTCAAGTTTTCCTTTGTAAAAACTAACCATAGATCTAGGGTCAGGTTTAAATGAATTAGTAAAATACAAGCCTTTGTCTCCACAAGGTAAAAAATATATTGAACATGTACTGTGGAGGAGTAGGCCTCTTTCCACATACCAGTAGTGAAGTTATTTAGTTTTAGGGAATTTTTACAGCCTTTTATAACATTGAGTCAAGAATTATTCTAATTCTCATTAGGCTAATTCTCATGTTAATCCCATTTAGTTGCCTCACAATGGGAGGTCTCATTTTATAGCTCGTCAAGATGTCTAAATAACATGTCACATACATTGTAGTATGGACAACAAAGTGTCATTTAAATTGGGGCAAAAAAACATCCAATGAAAAAAAACTATACAAAAAAAAAGTTGGGTTGTGAAAGGCTTACAACCCTGCATCAACACTCTTAGAATGAAAACTTTATATTTGTAATATTGATCAGTGGATCTGCAACATATATACACAGCAAATATGTTTATCCAAAATAAAAAAGGAAGAGAAACAAATATTTCCTTGCTATGTAAGTCTCAGTATGAACATAGCCTATGACTTGTTTATCTCCTTCAGACAGGTTTGGTGCCTAGCAAAGTGAAAGGTCAGACAAGGTTCAATACTTATAATATATATAATCATTCAAATAAGCAATGCTAGTCAATACCAAAACCACATGCAAATTATGAGATAGTTTGAGGTAATATAAAATTTGAACATGGAGCAAATTTTAGAATTATCTTTTTTATTTTTATTTCTTTTATAAAAGATAAAAGGTCTGATATAGTCTTCAATATTTTATTTCACTTTGCTAATAAAGGCTTAAACGAAAAATTGTAACCTCTGAGTTGAACGAACAATGCAGCCAATAGGAAAATAGGCAATGGCAACCAACTAGCAATTATATGGCCCAATTCACAGCTGCAAGTTCCTAATATCTACAATATAATATTTAATATCTAAAGCGGTAAAAGTAATAAATGGTTCCTCATCCATTAGCCTTCTTCAGTACTACATCGTAAC